GCCTCCAAGATTATCTTGGAGTAGAAGGAAGATTTACCGGAGAAGAGGGCGAAGTGCTGAGATTTGACAATTTGTATTCCACCAAGATATCAATCTTTGCCATGAAAATCAATTTCGCCCCTCACTGGGATGTGATTCCATGGGCAGCCTTCAAGGATTTCCACCTCCTTCAACTGCTTAATGCCTTTCTTCTGTTTTGCCTCTAAATTACATCTATTTGGTCTTTTTGCTGTGCTATTTTACATGCTGTTTCTTAGGCTCGATCCCAATTTCTTTCTGTATCTTGACTGTTTTGCCTTGGCTGCTTCTGAGTCTGACTCAGTTTTGCTCATTCTAATCATTAGTTACAGTAGCCACATTTCAGTTATGTCCTGACAATGCAGCCATACAGTGCTCACTTGGTCCTGCTTCAGATTCAAGAATGTAGGTCTCCATTGTGTATCAATGCCCATTGTACTGACCAGTTTAGATTGGGTATTTGTTTGTGCAGTGCACAGCACAAATCGGTTAATGTTTCCAGCGACACTAAAATTTCTGGAGTGTACTGTTCATGGTATTGAATGCGCGGAATGAGGATTTAAAACTACTTGTGGCTACTTGCATACTATTTCTTTCCAAGTTGTTTGCAGAATATACTTGTACAGCCTCCCGGTGCCAGGTATGAATCAAGCTATTCTGTTAAATTGTTTAGTTGGCTGTGTTTCAGGTGGAGATTTTTCTTCAGTTCGTTGCAAGTAAAGAACATTCCATTAGTAGTATGGTATAACAAAGATGAACAGGGTAAATGTATGTCTCTTAAATATGAGTTAGTGGTAAAGAAAGCCAGTATTGCATATTATCCTGTTTACATAATATCCTGTGAGTACTGCTTTGTAATTACTGGAGCTTTTGTGTGTTGCTGTGCTTTGCTCCTTGTTTTCGCTGCCAGGGTGGGGGAGGGAAAGTCTGAATGTGGTGCTGTTTCATCGCAATCTGTTTGCTGAAACTCTTTCAATGGCAGGAAGGAAAGGGCATCTCTGAGGCTCCGACTAATTGAAAGTTAAGTTTTTTTTNGCAACAAAACTGTTTAAATTGCTAGGTTTAGTAGCGACTTTTTAAATAAATAAAGCGCTTGCAATAATAATATTTGAACTAAACCGGTAACCAGTATTTGAAAATGTATTCACTATTTTGAAGAAAACTTCTCTTGAATTCGTGTTTGGGAAGTGATTAAGAGTAGTTAGTGTTACTTGTAGAAATACTGTACTGTTTTAAAGGGCTCCTTTAAAGGCCACCTTTAAAACAATCAGATATGCTTTAATCATGATTGCCACCCGGGCGCTACATTGTGTGAAAGTGCTATATAAATGCAAGTTATTTTTGCCTGCATTCCACTTTATTATACATGTGTTAACAACATACCATAACCAAAATAACAAATGATTTTATAAGTTTTTTTTAAATAAAAAGGGAAAATAACAAGCCTATTTTCGGGTAGTTACAGCATTGTTTCTTTTTTGGAGCTTTAATGTTTATTTTTACGGTTAACTTTATTGTATTTCCTTATATAAACACAGAAGTGACTGGGAACACACAGCAGGTCAGGCAGGATCCATGGAGAGAGGAAAATGAGCAAAGTACTGCAGATGCTGGAAATCTGATATAAACACAGAAGTCCTTGGGAACACTCATTTTCCTCTCTTCATGGATGCTGCCTGACCTCTTGCGTGTTCGCAGCAACTTCTGTATTTATACCAGATTTCCAGCATCTGCAGTACTTTGCCTTTTGTATTTTCTTATATAGCTTAAAACAAACTAACAACAACAACAACAAAAATTACATTTGTATAGCGCCTTTCGCGTCGGGAGGATGTCCCAAGGCGCTGGACAGACAGAGTTTTGGACCCGAGCTGGGGGTCGGGGAGGGTGGAGGGCAGAGGGGGAAGCAGGGAGATCAAAAGCCCACAGTCGAATAGGAGGGTCTTGAGATGGGTTTTGAAGGTAGGGGGTGAGGTGGGGGGATTGCTGGATGGAATTCCAGAGGGTGGGGGCATAGTAGCAGAAGGTCCGCCCACCCGCCAATAGTGGGGCGAGCGAGGAGGGGGGGGACGGAGGCCGGAGCTCGCTGAGCGATAGGTAGGAGTAGGATGGTAAGGGGTTAGGAGGTTGCAGAGATAGGGGTGGAGCAAGACCATGGAGGGTTTTGAAGGTGAGGACCAGGCTCTTGAACTGTATCCTCTGTGTGATGGGAAGCCAGTGGAATTGGGTAAGGATGGGGGTGATAGGGTCACGGAGCCTGGTGTGGGAGAGGACACGGGCTGCAGAGTTCTGGATGATCTGCAGCCTATGGAGGGATGAGTTAGGGAGGCCGACAAGTGAGTTTGCATAGTCGAACCTCGATGTAATGAAAGCATGTATGAAGGTTTCGGCGGCCTTTGGTGTGAGACAGTAGTGGAGCCGGGCGGGGGAAGGCAGAGCAGGTCATGGCACAGATGTGGGAAAGAAAGGATAGTTGAGGGTCAAACAAGACCCCAAGGTTCCAGCCTCGCTTAGTAAGATGGAGTGTGCAACCATGGACGGTGATGCTGTCAGCGCCTGAGGTGAGGAGGCACTGACGGGAACCAATCAGGAAAGCCTCGGTCTTGTTGACGTTCAACTGAAGAATGTTAACTCTCATCCAGGACTGATGTCCGACAGACAAATGATGCTGATATATCGAAGGTCTGAAAACCCAGCAGCTGCACTTGTGAAGAAGCCGTGAAACTGCACAATAGTATCTAGCTGGTTGGATAGAATGGTTTGCATGGACATTCCTGAGCTGTAAGAAATCTGTGTCTGTTGGCATTCCAGCACAGCTTCTCCAGTTCATTCTGTGTCTCAGCAAAGAGCGTTAAGAGTTAAAATTGTGCAGGATTTTCCTAGTGAATCATAGGTGTGTTTGCAGTTGCACCCTGTTATGCCACCTCATATTGAATGGAAGGAGGGTGTGTGAGTGTGTTTTGTGGGATGTGGCAAAGGGATGCTTTTACCAGAAAATGACAGCATCATAGAAAATCTCAGGGCCTGCAGGAAAGCATTGGCTACAATTATTTGCAGAAAATCTGAATCATCAGTGGTTGACACTGTACATTAGCTGGAACTGGTTTCCTAAATAGCACAAGTATAAAGAATTTTACTTTGAATATTTAGAAAATTTAACGATCATAAAATGGCAGTGAAGAGCTGCCAGTAAATAGCAGTTGTGTATAAAAGAAGTGACTGTTTTGATCAACAAGAACGTTTAAGCAATTAAGCTGGAGGTTGTTTGAATCCTCTTGGATGACTAACATGGTATTTTGTTAATCTTTGGTTAATCAATATGACTCATCTGAGTTCACTTTGAACAAATGAGCTGTGAAGTCTCAGTGTGAAACAAATAGTGTATACTTACAGGATTCCAACCCCTTTCACTTTTATATTAATTCTAATTGTACTATATTAGAATATGAAATGTTAAAGACAAGCCCATAACAGCATTTTATAAAAGCAAATTGAATGTATCCAAGAAAAATAATGTTAAAGGGTATGAGGAAAAAATCAGGAGAATGGGATCAGGTTAAATAGTTGTAGTTAGTGGAGGAGTTAACACTAGCACCGACGTGATGGGCCAAAGATGTCATTTTGTTGGCACGTGCTATTTTTCTGGTTGTTCCTTAGTTTTCAGATTATTTTAAATTAATTCTGTATTTTTTTTACAAATGTAATTTGAAAGCTGTGATTTCCCATTTCGAGTTCAAGTGGCATAAAACACTCAAACTTACATTTACGTTAGCCATCTGAACTCATCCATTGAGTCACTGCTTTACAGTTCCTCTTTATTTTACATTTTATGTATTTCCTCCTATATTTACATATGCAGTTGAAGGATAGTGCTGGGAAATGGAGCATGTCACCACTTTTAAACCCAGTGTCCATTTGGCAAAATCCCAGGTGAGCTACAACAAGCTTTTGATGCAAGGAAAATCTCTGCACTGCCTCAACTGTGTGAGTCTTATACTAACCTGGGAGAAACAGTCCCATTGCACTAGCCTGACATTTCCAATTCCTGTAACAGAAATCCTTGTGGCTTCTCTGAATCGCTCAATGTAAGATAATTTTAAGGTCTATCATTTTGTTGTGGTTTCATAGCCACTAAAAATGAGGTTGAAACTGCCTGTTAATTTACAGCCATCAGAGAAAATTCTATCCCTTTAGAGAGGACCAGACTTGGTCACTGGTTCCTGAGGTGGAAGGACAGTATTCAGGTCATTGTCAAATCCCACTCACAACTGCTCTCTACTTAATTTTGTGAAGGTCCTGGAAAAAAAATGATATTTTGGTATTCTGTACTTTTTTAAAAAAAAGTCAAAAAAGACCTTTTTCTAACTTCTGTAATTCATTGGGATCTTCCAAGTGTGTTATCAATGTATTCCTAGTTTTATGCAGAGCACTTTTATTTCTTGTTTTTCAGCAATGTCACTTTCCATGTGAAATGCAAAAGTGCATTAAAAATCCAGTAGCTGGACTAATGTGTCTTATTTAGGAAGTTAAACTATAAATAATATTTAACAGTTTTGCTACAAACATTTAATAATCTTGCATTTGATAAAGCTCCTTATTACACTGTTGAGACATCTCAAAGCACTTCACAGTATACAGTAAAGTCAAGTGACTGTATTTTTTGGGTGAAACACGGCAGCCAAATGCGCACAGCAGTATCCCACAAACAGTCGTGGATAGAAAGACAAAATTATTATTTTTTAGACTTAAAAACAATGTTGTCAAAGCACATTAGGAAGTGCTTTCATACAAAGAACAGACCGGTAAGAAAGATCACTAGAATTCAATTTGCTAATTGTTGACTTGTTTTCCTATAATTCAGACTTTAATATTATAAAGCTTTTACTTCCTTGTCAAGCTGCAATGTACATTTGATCCTAGCAAATTAATTGCATATTAATACTATATAAAACTTACTTTACCTTATTGACCTTGCTTGACAGGGCATCAGTGGGACAGAGGTAAAAGTAAGTATGGTTGTATTTAATGGAATTTTTTTAATGCCAATATTTAATATTGCTTTTGTGTGACTTTTTCTGTGTTGCCAGTGGAACATTTGGGTGCAGAATGAAGATGTGTTTTAGGGAGAAGAAATTGACCTTTAAACCAAAGAGTGCTATTCCTAGCATTTTGTCTGAATCCCAAATTGTTTTGAATAATGAATTATTTGTCAGTCTCCACAGCAAGAATAACATTTAAATTCTGGATAATTTCAGATTGAAGTTTGAAGTTGAAATTCCCTGTAATTCACTAAAGTGAAAAAAGTAAAGTTCTACGATACATGGAGTTTCCATGTGTAGGTGCGATGCATAGAACTCTGGTTTGGATGTGGTGATGGGTGATGGGTATCCACATGTGTCAGACACCAGGTTGACCAAAAAATTATTGTTCAAAGGAGGTCACTAAGATGTGATTGATCCATAATCTGAATGTGTTACACAAGGTGTCTTGTGCTTCCTTGCCCCAGTATGTCTTCAGTATGCAATGTAAAATAGCATGATTCTTACCTATGCTCTTTAGAGTGGCTGGAACCATATTCTGGAGTGTTAACCCAAACACTATTAAGAATATTTATTTTTGATGTTTTTTCTGTTTATAATTTGTATCTTCAATGGTGACGTACGTGAAACGTACTGTTCAAAGTCTGGATGTCTGTTTAGTGGGTAACCAGTAAATGCAGTGCAATAAATACTGCACTACAAATAGCCAAAGTTGGAAACCCAAAGATCTCTGCACTCCTGATCAAGAAGAACAGAACATTTGATCAAAAACAAATAGTGCCATAACACATCCAGATGTTAAGCTCTAAGCTAATAAAAATGCATTTTTTTTCCCTTGCCCCAAGCCAGTCGATAATCGATTGAAATTCTGCTGTTATATAACTGTTTTGACATCAGCTCTTTTAAATGTTGCAAATATATCCAAACAATGCAAAACAAATGGGACCCAAGTCAGACCTTTCCACTGATTGGGAAACGGCTTTAAATCACCAGACCATCAAGTTGATGTAGAAATATGCAGAGGCTTCTTTGGTCTATAACTGTATAATTCTATTTGTTTTCATCAGTGCAAAGTCATGGAGGGGAAGCATTGTTGAATTATATTAGACAAACTCAAGTTCTGCTTGTTCTTGATCGGTTATCTTTTAACAAGCATGTGGGTACACCCAAAAGATCTGGGTGATTCTTTCCCTATTTAGAGGCTCTCAAATGAGATCCAACCATTCCAATTCTTTCTCTTTTTCCATCAACAAACCTGGATCAGTGACTTGATGTAGCTTCTATATGCCATCCCAGGTTCAAAATCAATATCCCAAGCAAGGCTAAAAATTGGAAGAATTTATTTCCCCATTCAGTCGTCAGTATGAGAAATAGAGTTCCGGCAAAATAAACTGATGTTTGTCAATTTATAGAGAAAAAGACATAAATATCTGTTTGGGAATGAGATTGGAAGTCACAGGTATAAGATATTGATATTCCAATATTCCACAGGAGATTATAGAATACTGGGTCTGGATATGTTCAGAAAGAGACTGAGTACAGCCTCACAGGTTTGAATGGTGGAGATGAATTAAGTGTGTGGAATCCAAGATATGTATAGACTCTTTAGAAGGAGCAGTTTAATAGTTCCTGGCTTTTTTTTGCTGCACATTTTCTTATTTCTTTATAGTCTGGTAAAGAGGGCATCATTTCAGGGAGTAACAGGCATAATCCTGGAGAGCAGCTTTTCATTTATTACAAAAATGTGAAATGCACAGCAGGGAGTCTGTTCTCACTTATTTCCAGTACACTGAATTATATATTTTATTCCAAGAGCTGGTACATTTCATGTTTTGTTCTACAGATTATTTGCATGTGTTTGGGCATGCTAACATAGGAATGTACCCGATATGCATTGCCAAAGAGTTTACAAAAAGCTTAACTGCTAATACTAGGCCATTGAGTAATTTAGCTCGAGGCTTAACTGGCAATTAGTAAAAAAAACATTGGTGAAAGGGGAGAAGAAAGCAAAATGCTCTGAAATGTAATATGAAACATTAATGTTGAGTAACAACTTTGTTATATTTTGACATGCTATAAATGTTCGTTGTGATTCTAAACGTTAGCTTAGCTACTGTATTTTAGTTCTGAATTTCTTGCTATATATTGTAGATACAAGTATGCAGATGTTTCCTTCTCTGTATGCTCTGAACTTGATAAAAATAATTTTGAACAAGATGTGGTGTACAGAGTTGGGATAGAAGTTGGGAGAGCGGACACCAGTTGTCTCCTACAGGGAAGCCATCTAGACTTTTCTCCCCAGTTATTCCTTTGTACCTTGTTGTACAGGGTACAAATAACGTTTGCAATTGATTAGGGACAGGGGAATGGGGGAGCAGAGGGAAAGAGGTGAAGAAGAAATGAAAAGGGGGAAAAATGCATTCCAAACCAGCAATAAAGTAGATGTATCAGTTGTTTTAATGGCCATTGTATTGTGTGAACTTTTCAAATAACCATTGGATAGTTTTCAAAATGTATCTCATAGGCTTATACCAATATTTACAAAACACAAAAACTCTAAATAATGATAACATTATTGGTATTTACAAGTAAATTCCTGGGAGCCAGTTGCATCCTTGCCAGGTTCCACTGGCTCCCAATCACCGAATGGATCGACTTCAAGATCCTCTCACTTGTTTTGAAGTCACTTCATTCCCTCGCACCTCGCTACCTATCCAACCTGCTTAGCCCTTACTCCACCACCCTCTGCCTCCGCTCGGCTGGCCCCGGCCTCCTAATTGTTCCTCGTGCCCCTGCTCCACCATCAGTGGCCATGCCTTCAGCCGCTACCCCCCGAAACTCTGGAACTCTCTCCCTTGATCCCTCCGCTTTGCCCCCTCCCTCCCCACCTTCAAATCCCACCTAAAGCCCTTCCCTTTTGATTGTGTTTATGGTCACTGCCCTCTCCCCCGGCTTGGTGTTTGGCTCTGGGACTCTACCCCGCATGAAAGGCCCTATATAAATGCAAGTTGTTGTTGTAAATTGTGGAATGGGTGCTTAATTTACACAGCTTAAGTTTAGTTAAAATTTCTAAAGATAATTGGACTTTTTTTGTGTTAGCATTTAGTGGAAATGTGCCACCTGCTGAACCAGTTTGTATGTTCTACCACTAGATATTAAGGGATGGCAATAAGCTGGCACAAATGGAGGAAGCACCGCTGCTGCCAGGAGAATCTATCAGGGATATGGGTACGTTTGAGCAATCCTGAAGCATGCATCATTTCCAATTCATACCACAAACTGTGTCACAATGCTCCTTCCCAACCATTCGAGAGTTAGTATTTTAATTTTAAAAAATGTTTTCGCTCATCTTTAAGACCAATTGTTTGGTCTTTAGTCTCTTAACATAGAAAATGTGTTGAGACAGTAGAAAAGATGGAAGTGTGGTCTGTGTTTTTTAGACTCAGTGTTCCTGGCGTCTGGATGATTTAAATGTTGAAGCCCTGTAAGTGTGCCACTATCTTCAAATGTAGTTTAGGAAGGATTAGGACACCAGGTTCTCCCTCTGTGGATATAATAGGTTTGACATATAAAAAAGAATTTGAAAAAGATCTCCTTTTATCAGAGGATTGATCTTGCTTCAGGGAGTTCAGCAAATATTTTTTTAAATAAGTGAGTTTTTTGTTTAAAAAAAACTTTTCCCAGGGACATAATGGAAGTGGTTATTGTATCCTACAGTAAGAACTGAACTCCAATGAAACCTATGTGTTAAATGCAGAACTGTAGAAGAGATACTGGTTTATTGAAACAAGTACCTGTCACAAGGGAATATGTTACTGGTATGTTCAATGCAGAAGTGAGCACCAGATTAAATTGAAAATGATTTTCATGATCAATTCAAAGCTTGAGATGGTTTCATAGGACAATGTATACGTTGTTTCTTCTTTCATAAATTTTCTGAGGTTTTAAATATCCATTGCCTTTCTAACATTCCATTATTAATAAAATGGTACCATCTTAATATTTTGCTTCAATTCAAATATTTTTTGTAAAATACTGAAAACACTTAACAAATGCAAGGATCTAATCCGGGTTTAAAATACACGTGATGGCAATTAATTGGTAGCGCCCTCTTTTGATGTACTAGTGGAGTTCAGCAGAATTTGACAGTTTGCTTTGACAACACAGTAATTTGTTCTGTGGTTGAATTCAGCAATGGTAAAGCCTATTTACATTGGTAACTTCCATGGTATCCCAATGTGCCTTATAACTTGTGAGAAAGATATGCTGCTGATGCCAAATTAATGTTTCAGTACAGTTACATTTACAATGAATTTAATAGTGAGATAACGGTAGTTTACATTTTTGTCTTCACAGCGAAGGATGTTACGTATATCTGCCCTTTTACTGGAGTTGTAAGAGGAACATTGACTGTTACAAACTACAGGCTATATTTCAAGAGTTTGGACCGGGTAATTTGCAAAAACAAATTCATACAAATTTTGTAATTGTCTGGCAGCTTCAATTTCAGGATGTTTTTTCTCCTGGAATGTTTTTTTTCTTATTTATAAAGAATAGAATGCAGGATATAAAAATAAACTCAGCAAAATGTTTTATATACTTAATCACTTTGTTTCTTTTATTCTCAGATCAGGAATGTAAACTTTTCTAGTTCTGACGCATTAAAAATGGACCAGATTTTTGTCTTCATTAGTTATTTCCTTTGGTGACTGAGTTACTAATTTCAAAATCCTCTGACGCTTGCAAAGTTTTTGTTTTCTATTCATTTGGTTAGTTTTTACTGCTGTTTTGTGTGTAGTGCTGTAAAATAATTATAAAGTACTGCATCACACATTCAGCTGGTAAGCCTGGCACAGTGCAGCCTTTTTTTAATACACTTTATTTTAGCACTAATTAGTTTATAAATGGAGACCTATTCATTGTGCATACATGCAGCCGGCTGGCTTCCACACTAAAAATGGGCATCTTATGGTTCATACGTTGCCGCTGACATAATTTCCTTTATTGTGTATACGCATTTTACAAGAAGTGACATTAGGGGAGATCTGATGTGTCTGCCATTTTCTTAGTGCTAGGGCCAATTGGCACAAAGGAAATGAGTCAGCTGGCTACACACATGCATAGTGAAACTGGCTATTGGGGTCATGTTTAAGGTGGGTTGGGATTTTGTGTGAGGTTCCACTTCATTATAGTACCCATAGGTGTATATTACAATTTTAAAAAATTTACAAAAAGAAACCTCGACAATATTGTTAAAAAATGAGAAAACTAGAAAATTATATTATAAATTGTAATTTATCAAAAGCTAATTAAATGTCTTTTTAAAAAATCTTTAGTAGTAAATATCTGAATGACTACATTGAAATGAGTGAGATTTGTATTGCTGTGCATCAGTTTCATAGCCTTTTTAAATTATTAGTGCTTTAATCTAAATAGTATTTTGTCTATTGATTTCAGCAAATATGAAAATAAATAAAAAATTATATTAATGTCCACCATAATTATTTTTAATATTGAACCTTTTATTAAAGTTAAAGTATCTACGTCTATCACTGTCATCCAGCAATCCATATAGACACTTCAACTTGAATTTGCCTTTTACTGTTTTCATAGGACCCACCTTTTGTCCTTGACGTTCCTCTGGGTGTGATCAGTCGAGTTGAAAAAATTGGTGGGGCATCCAGCCGAGGGGAGAATTCTTATGGACTTGAAATAATCTGCAAGGTACATACTTAAACCTGTTTAAAGCCTTTGAAATTATATAATGTTTATTATAATGAATAATTATTCTTGCATTTGATATAGTGCCTTTCACATTTGGAGGATGTCTCAAAGTGCTTTGCAGGATTTATTGTAAAGTATGAATTTTTAGACAAACGCGCCAGTCAATTTGCACACAGCAGTATCAAACAAATAAGTCATCAAGTCATCAATGACCAGTTTTATCTGAGGGATTGCTGGTCAGGACATCGAGGGGAACTCACTTCTCATTTGAATAGTTCTATAGGATTTTTGAACTTTGGAACATATCTTTACATCAAAAAGTCACAGTTGTGTTGCATTTGTATTTTTTTGTGCTTTACCTATGAGTGCATTTGGAGTACAGTCTTTCCGACTTGCACTTTCACAGTGCTGGTTAGATACAAGGACACGTACTACTGTTCCTCAAGATTGCATTGAACATCTGCTGAAATTTCTTCTGCAATTTAGGGGCTGTGAGTGGACCTTCCTCCATTGACTCTAGATTTCCCAACTCTTGCCTCCACAGGTCGCAGACCTTTCAGACTGCAGCTTGTGTCCTCTTTCCACACTAGGCTCCGTGAGTCTATCACCCCCATCCTTGCCCAGCTCCACTGGGCTCCCCATCCCCCAAAGGATCGAGTTCAAGATCCTCATCCTCATTTTGAAATACCTCCACAGTCTTGCCTCACCCTACTTCTGTGACCTTCTAAAACCTTACCAGCAGCCTACTCCCTCGGCTCAACAACCAAAGGCCGGTCTCAAGTTCCTCCCAATGTTAAAGATGCTATATAAATGCAATTTGTTGTTGTTGACTCAAGGGTTGCGTTCTATGGGTAGATTGAGAAGAGAGCGCAAAAGAGATTTAAACGCTTAATGAGCACAAGGTAGAAAATATGGCCACAACACATTTGGCCAGTGTCCTTGATTGTAAATCTGAAGCCAAACCCATAAAGAGTAACGATGCAACTTATAAACTAATTACAAAATGCAGTTACTACAATTTTGCTCTTATTGGATGTATTATATTTTATTTCCATTGTTTAGTTTTCCTATTTGGAACAGCAATCCAATAATATTTTTTTTGTGTGTGTTCCAGGATATTCGGACCCTCCGATTTGCCCACAAACAAGAAGGCCATACCAGACGATCCATCTTTGAGAACCTAATGAAATATGCATTCCCCACATTTAATAATTTGGTACTATTTCCCTTCTGTTCTAATAAGCAAAGTATATGTGGCTGTGAAATAAATCTAACTTAGTCGACAGTTCGATGTGAATGTTTAAGCACTCTGAACCTAATTAATTATCCTTGTATTTGCCTTTTTGCATCAAAACATTTCAAAGTGCTTGAAGGTGCCCCCAATTGAACACAGTCATGAAGTAAAATAGAGTTGAGGGAGGGAAAGATGGCCAAAAGCATGGTCAAAGAGAGAGATCTTGAGTGAGCCTTGAAGAAGCTGAGGCAGGGGTTGAGTTGAAGGGATTCCGTGATTGAATTCCAGAGAGTGGGGGTAGTATGCTTGAAAGCCCGCTTGCTGATGGTGCGGCAGATAGGGCTGGGGACATAAAGCAGGTAGGATTTGAGATCGCAGGGTAAGGTGGGGTGAGACTGGAGAGATTTAAAGGCGACAACAAAGTTCTTCACAACAACAACACTTTTACTGTTGAGTAGATTGTGGACCCACACTGTACCAGAAGTACAGTACACTTCCAACTTCTGGCATTAACATACTAGACAGTCAGAGCTGGAAGTTACTTCAGCAGCAACCTGATACCTGTGGTAACCTGAAAGCATGGAAACAGGATCTATAGCCATTTTTATTTTGCAAACTTGTTACAAAAGACATCTAACTTTATGGACCTAAACCACTGGGGTTGAACGACTATATTTTTTGGCTAAATCTATAGTTCTGGTTAGAGTGCTATATGTTTCACCATTCTGAGCCCAAGTGCCCCATATGTGTATGATCCTTGCTGAGGAATGGGGCATCAATGGAGCCAAGTGAGAACGATGATGATAATAATAATAATACTTGCATTTGATATATTGACTTATCACGTCTTCGAGAAAGAATATACTGTAAAGTAAATTAAATGTACATTTTGTGGGTGAATGGAGACTCATAGGCTGGCGGAGTCTGATGTGCTAAACAACACGAGCTGCAGAGTTCTGGGGAGTCTGCAGGTAGTGTGGAATAACGTAGCAATGGTGCTTCAAGCATTTCAGAGCAATAACTATTTTTGGCTAATATAATCTCATTTAACACAATTTACAAAATTGGATCAAAAATGTTGCTGCAATCCCGGAGGAGTTAATTGATGAGGCTGTATTTGAAGCTTTTCAGATCTTGAGACAGCTTACTTTAGAATGCACAAATGAGCTTGTTAATGGGCATACTTCTTTGTAGGTCAATGACCAACAGCATGCAGGAATATTGAACATTTACTGAACAGAAAATCTTGGACCTTTACTGTTACTAGCCTCACATCACCTAGTTATAGATTAATGCACTGAACAGTACCATAATCTAATGAAAGTTCCAGTAATGTAGCTTCTATAGCTGGTCAATATAGACATAGGCAGGTGTACATTGTGCAGTCCTATGATAAATTGGGGAAAATATCAGCAATGTGGCATGGTAAAGCACGATTGAATGGGCAATAAAAANTGTTTTAATGTTTTGTATGTCATTTATTTATGTAAGTTCTGTGGAGCCATCAATTTAATCATTTTAAAACAGTCAGCTGCAATTTGGACACTCTTCATCCCTTATCAGCTTCTTCTGAGTCTCATCTCATCCATTCCCTGTATTCTTGCTTCCCTCACAAGGGAGAGTTGCAGAGGTTGCTTAAGAGACAAATTATCTCTTTTTCCCGTGAATTCGTGAAATCATGTGACTTACATTAAAATTCTCTTTGATGGGTTTGGATTTAACATGACACAGGGAATGTTTCAAAACTGTAGGGAAGCATACAGGAAAGAATTTGGCAAAATCCCCATGGTAATCACCCTGGAGACTAAACTCTTTTTTGTACAAGATAAGTACAACTTTGGTCGTATATTTTCAAATGATATCACCCAATTTTCTCCTTGATGCTAGCTTCTTTTCTGCGAGAAGAAGTACAAAGTCTGGCTGAAGCTATCTCCAGAGCTGTGTATTGTTGTCTTTTTCCAACAGAACATGAAGCAATGAAGGGCATAACTACTTTTCTGTTTATTTGTTCCACATGTGCAGCATGGTATTTAGCAGCAAAACCAAGAACTGGTGACATTTGCACAATGGGAGACAACAAACAAAAAAATGTGTTGAGGGTTGGGATTATATTCAACAGATCTCTGACAGATTGGATGATTCGCCTCAATACAACCAGTGTGAACAGTACAAAACTTCAGTAATAATTTGATGCAGTTGAGTATAGAGTTTGGACCATAGTTTTGACCTAAAATGGAATTACAATAGGCGTTGCTTAACTATTTATCTGACTTTGTTAATTTTTCAGCCACTGTTTGCATATGAATATAGTGAAACCTTTCCTGAGGATGGCTGGAAGATTTATGATGCACTTGCCGAATATAAGAGAATGGTGAGTGCTTTTCAATATTGTCCTTGGGACGTCCTCCCGACGTGAAAGATGCTATACAAAGGCAATCTTCTTGTTTTTCTTTGATGGTGTGTTAATTGCAAACTGCAGTGTATTGAAATGTTAATCCAGTTTTGTTGCAACAAAATTCTCCTTGGTTCAGTCCGACCCTGTTATAACACGATTTGTTAGAGTGTGAGTCCCTTAGAGAATAGTATGAGTAGGTTGTGGACCCACACTATATCAGAAGTGCATTGACAGGCCAGATAGTCAGAGGTGGAAGTGATTCAGCAGCAACGTGATACCTGTGGTAACCTGACCACCCGGAACTGGGATCCATAGCCATTTCACAGACCCATTACAAAAGAGGTCTAACTTTACGGGCCCAAAACATTGCTTTGTAATGGTGTTGGACTGTATTTTCTTGGTTAAACCTTTAGTGCTGGTTAGAATCCAATATATTTTGCCATTGTAACCGGAGCTATAGATTTAAATTTGTATTAACTTTTTGTGCTATGGACTTTATTTATATTAGAATTTCAATCAATATTGTGGGAGCTTTATTAGCTGTTGCAAATCAATTGCCAAGTTAGTAATTTACTAACAGATTGTTTAATATTTTGTCTTCCGCATATTGCTACAGGGCCTCCCGAATGAAAGCTGGAAAATCACAAGAATTAATGAAAATTATGAACTTTGTGACACTTATCCTGCTATATTGGTGGCACCAGAGAGCGCTTCGGAAGATGATTTGAAGAAAGTAGCTGCTTTCAGATCAAGAGGCCGTATACCAGTAAGTGCTTAATATTGACTATTTAAATATTTGGTGCTTACAATAAGATTACCCAATTTTTTTTCTGTGGAAAGGCATCTTTCTGCTGTCTCAAACCTACTGACATTGCTGAGCTTCAGAGTGTTCGGTTGCAGTGTTCTGCCTGCAGTTTCCAGCAGTTTAAAAAAAAATCAATATCAGATGATGTAATCAAGGCTGAAATTGTGGTTGTGAAATGCTGACTGAAGTATAGATGCAGAACATCTTTAGATTGATTCTCTGATTTGTTCTGTGTTTACTGCTCTCAGACAGGATAGCGGGGAGGGTGTTATAATTAGTTTCAGCACCAGTAAACAGGGAGAGGAAAACCAGCCAGGATTTATTTTGATCAGCTGGATGTCTGACAAATGAGGAAACCTATCACTATGCTTAAGAGTATCCAAACCAAACTGAGAGTTCCATGTATCCCATCTTTACATGGAAATTCCAGAGATTTGCTGGAATGGAATGCGCACTCTCCTCCTGGAGAGACGCATCCTGCTTACCTAATTCCAGAAAATATTAGGTAGAGGTTGGTAAGAGACCAGGCTTGGGGAGCCCAGAGTGCAGTTTAATGCATGAAATATAAATTGTCTAACAATTTTTCTTGTTTACATATGGAAAGTTAGTTAAGTTTGTACTGCAGCTCTTTACTGCTGCAACCTGCCAGTATTTGAAAGGTACCATGAGGACATCTTCTAACAGTGGGTGCTGTTTCAAGATTTTGGTTAACATTGAGCTCTTTGCACTTTTTACAAACCTGCCTGACAGGTTGAGACCCAGTCAAGGTCATTTAAACAGTAATCCAACATTGAGTAAAATGGTGCTATGTGCAGTCTGGAACCTTAAATTATTTTCCCCCTTGTTGCAGGTGTTATCATGGATACATCCAGAGAGTCAGGCAACGATAACTCGCTGCAGTCAGCCCTTGGTTGGTATGAGTGGTAAACGTAGCAAAGATGATGAAAAATACCTCCAAGCTATAATGGATTCCAATGCACAGTCCTATAAAATCTTTATCTTTGATGCCAGGCCCAGCGTTAATGCTGTGGCTAACAAGGTAATGTTTTTACTTGAAATCAATTTCTTCAATACTTAATAATACTGGATCCCCAATTCTTGTTTATTCTCAAATCCTAGTGATTGAAGGCTCTTTTGCATCTTATTTCCTTTGATCCTTTTAACAAAAATCTTGCCAAGATGGTAACATCGTCTCTATCACTGTAATTCTTGCCTGTGAAAGCTTCTACATCAGGGGGTAGTACTGCTAAGCACTCTGAGATGCCGCCTGGCATGGAGGGCGCTATATAAATGCAAGTTGTTTGTAGTGTGAACCCCCAGAGGCAAGCAGATACGGCCACATATGGCAACTCACTATAACACAGGTTTAATCTCAGGGTTATGAAAAACCAGAACAGCAACACAACAACCGCAGAGGCATGCAGGTACCTGGGCTCACAACCAGTGCCTGCCACCCTCCTACAGACCTGCATACTCGCAATCCACCCCCCCGCTCTTACCCTGAACCAACCTCATACCAGCCATGTGGCCTAAACCTCATTCTCCCTGGCTCTGAGCCAGGGTGAGATTTCCACCCTTCTCAGGCCAGCCTTAGAATGCAATAGAGATGGGGCATCATCATCTTCTCATGAAGGCACAGACCCCTCGCGCTTTCTCGCCCTGAGGTCTGAGTGCCCACCACTATACTCCATTTAGCCTCTGCTGTCAGTGAAAGGTGATATATCGGTTATTAGATGTTTTTTGAATGTTGGGAATATTTACTGTAATTTATCATTCTTCTTTATGAATTGTTAAACATTTCGCCCACAAAATATACTGTCAATTAACTTTACAGTATATTCTGTGAAGTGCTTTGAGATGTCGCACCAACGTGATAAGGAGCTACATCATTTGCAAGGATTGTTGTTATTATTTTCAAGAGGTTCAGTACTGTCAAACCTTGTACTAGGCGTGCAGCAGTTTCTGCAGGCAAATTGCTTGTTCCCTGTGTGTGAAATCGGAGCCACTAATCTTGCCCAGAATACAGATAAATATTCTGAATGCTGGATTTTGCCCAGTCTGGAGGCACATCACTAAACTCTTTAACTAATACTTTACTACCTTCCCTCACTTCCGTAACATCGCCCGACTCCGCCACTACCTCACCCCTCAGGCCGCTGAAACTTTTGTTCATGCCTTCATCACCTCCAGGCTCGACTATGCAAATGCCCTGCTTGTCGGCCTTCCCAACTCCTCCCTCCACAGGCTGCAGATAATCCAGAACTCTGCCGCCCGTGTCCTCTCCTGCGCCAAACTCCGTGACCCCATCTCCCCCACTCTCCCGACTCCATTGGCTCCCTATCCTTCAAAGGATCCAGTTCAAGATCCTGGTCCTCACTTACAAAGCCCTCCATGGCCTCACCCCACCCTACCTCAGCGACCTCCTAACCACCAGCCCGCTCCCTCCCCTCAGCCGGCTCAGGCCTGCTCCATGTCCCCCGACCCACCCACCCCACCATTGGCGGGAGAACCTTCAGCCACTCTACCCCCAACCTCTGGAACTCCATCCCCCAATCACTCCACCTCGCCCCCTCCTTAGCCTCCTTCAAGTCCCACCTCAAAACCCTCCTCTTCCATCGGCCACCCCCCTCCCCCTCCCCTCCTTTTTCCCCCACCTGACCCTAGCTTGAGTCTGAAATACTGTACCCTGTCCAGCGCCTTGGGACGTTCTCCCGATGAGAAAGGTGCTATACAAATGTAATCTTCTTGTTGTTACTGCATTGAGCAGGTGGTTCCAGATTCAAAGAACCATCTGTTTACAGAATCAAAATGGCACAGCACAGAATACTTGAACTGAATGGGTTGTTTTTGTGCTGTAGCATTCTATGTAACTGGTTTAAACATGAAATGCATAATTCTACTAGACTCAATGAGGTCAATTTATCATTGCGTTTGATATTCAATTTATTGACCGTATCTGGATGTGCGGGAGACAGACCCCTGCTGACATTCTCAACAACAACAACTTGCACTCATATAGCACCCTCCACACAGGGTAGCGTCTCAGAGGGCTTAACGGTGGCGGAGCCTGACTCCGAGCTGGCGGGGGGGGCCCCGGGAGGTGACCGTAAGCACGGTCGAACAGGAAAGTTTTCAGGCGGGACTTGAAAGAGGGGAGAGGGGGCAAGGCGGAAGGATTGAGGGAGAGTGTTCCAGAGTTTTGGGGCGTAGTGGCTGAAAGTATAATCTCCCATGGTGGGGCAGAGGGTGCGAGGGACGTGCAGGAGGTCGGTGCCAGTTGAGCGGAGGCGCCGGGTGGTCAATTGGGGACTGAGGAAATCGGAGATTCTCAACATTCTCAACAGCAAAAGCATTGGACTTCTGGTTCACTGAATTGGATTATTAATAGCAGGATACCGTCTTTTTTACTGAACAAATCAACTCTTAACATCGAATCAATGAGTGTGCAACAGCAAACACACCATTCAAAACCACTTCAGTCTATGTTCAGTTAACTAAGTGCTCCCTGCCTGCAAGCTCCTGCTATCTGAAGGAGATGTAAAATCCCCCAAGGGAGCTTGCAGAAGCATTCTGAACCTCCAGAACTGGACTATAAAAGCAGATTGATAATAATAATAATCCTTACATTTGTGCATCGATATAGCATCTTTCACTTCAGGAAGACTTCTCAAAGTGCTTCACAGGATTTATTGTAAAGTGTGTTTATTTTTTATGGGTAAATGTGGCAGTCAATTTGCACATAGCAACAACAACGACAACAAATTACATGTGTTATAGCACCTTTCACATCTGGAGGATGTGAAAGCAATGTCCTACAAACAACCATGGGAGTCCTGTGGCTCAGTGGTTAGAGCACTCGCTTTGCAAGTGAGAGACCTGAGTTCAATCCCAGGCAGAGGGCGAAACCTTGGGCAAGTTTCCTTACTCCACACAGAGCCTAATAATAATCCCTCCAAAACCAAAAACAATAATAAATTGGTCATTTTCAATCCGCGACTGTTTGTGGGACATTGCTGTGCGCAATTGGCTGCCGCGTTCGCCCACAAATATACAGTCAATTCACTTTACAGTGTGTTCTGTGAAGCGCTTTGGGACGTCCTCCCGACGTGAAAAGCGCTATATCAAATGCAAGGATTATTATTATTATTATGTCATGAGTGACTATTTTTAACTGTGGGATAGATAGGAGAAACAATATCCGTCATATTTGCATAATGAAAAGGTCACTAGTTCCAAGTTCATAAAGTTAAATGGAAAAAGATAATGGATAAAACAATTAAATTAAGGCTACAGTTTAAAATTCTATACAAAAGCCTCATATGGAATAGACCACAAATGCTGATTGACAATCCGTTGCTGAATTGTTTTGCTTGATCTCTTGCTCAGGCTAAAGGAGGTGGCTATGAAAGTGAAGATGCGTATCAGAATGCGGAGTTGGTCTTCCTCGATATCCATAACATTCACGTGATGAGAGAATCCTTAAGGAAATTAAGGGAGATAGTTTATCCTAACATAGAAGAATCACATTGGCTATCCACGTTGGAATCAACACACTGGTTGGAACATATAAAAGTAAGTTTCTGTATTCAGGCAAGTAAGTCATCAAGGTTTATATATAGTAGAGCCCCATTATAATGCTCTTTGTAATTTATGTTCGCTTATACAAAGTAGTTTAATTTAAGTGTGGAACCTGCCATTTACAGTCTTTAACACAAGATTACAAAAGCTGGCCAGCTTCTTTGGCAAGCTGCATATCACAATGTCAGACTTCAAAACGCATCATTGTGTGATAACACATTTTGAAGCAACATGGGAAGTACATTGTGTATTCAAGTGATACATTGTGCAGCGTGCCATTGTGAAGCTTGATGCGTACCAATCTAGCAGGTTGGTAATTTATGGATTCCCAGCTACCACCTTAGAGCAAGGTTCTTCTGTACATTAAATTAGTTTTAACTCAAGGAATCTTAATTTAGGTTCAATTTTATAATCTTGATTTTTTTTCACTAATAGCAAATTCACCTCTCATAAATACAGTGCCTTAGAGCACCATTCTCAGTTTTCTGCTGTATCATAACATACTTTTCTTGTGGTTTCAGCTAATCCTTGCTGGTGCTCTGAGGATTGCTGATAAGGTTGAGTCTGGAAAGACTTCAGTTGTGGTGCACTGTAGTGATGGCTGGGACCGCACAGCCCAGCTCACCTCTTTGGCTATGCTAATGCTGGACAGCTACTACCGGACCATTCGAGGTTTTGAAGTCCTTATCGAAAAAGAATGGCTCAGCTTTGGCCACAGATTTCAGCTTGTGAGTGTGCATACTTCCTGCAGTAATTTAAAGCATTTCCATTCAGCTAGAAATAGTGTGTTAGCCTTCCTCATTTGGTACCACTTTTTCCTATAAATCAGAAGGTTGTGGGTTCGAGCCCTGAGTCAAACTTTAAGCTCATAGTATCATTGGCTGGGGATCGGCTGCATAGTTAGAGGTGTCATTCTCAGATGGGTGAACATTAACTATTCCCATGACACTTTTTGAAAAAAGAGGCAGTTTCTCCCATTGTCCTGCCCAAGGATGATGATGACTTATTATTATAAATCTCTTCTGGATAAGTCATGACTGTTTGTGGGACATAGCTGTTCACAACTAGCCCCTAAGGTTTGCCTATAAACACAGTCAACAACAACCAGCATTTATATAGCATCCTTCACATTAGATGGCATCTCAGAGCAATCCATTTTACAGTTAAATGTTCTGAAGCACTTTGAGATATGATAAGGCATATCAAATGCAAGGATTATCAACAACAACTTGCATTTATATAGCGCGGGGTAGCGTCCCGGAGTGCTTGACAGTGGCGGAGTCTGGCACCAAGCCAAGAGGAGAGGGATGGAGGAGGTGACTGCAAGCACGATCAAAAAGGAAGGTCTTTGGGTGGGATAAAATATCAAATACATGGATTAAATGCTGTATGATATTAGCTGCTTACTAAGCAGTGCTTCACAATTGGGAATCTGATGTCTTAAATTACCTTTTTAGTTTGGATTGTATGTTGACTTTTTAAAAAAAAACACTTTGCATTCATTAAGCTAGCAACAGACTTTCCACAATTATTTCCCTGTAGCATTTGACTGACTAAGCTTATTTTGCAATGCCGGTTTTGTATTCCACATTCTTGGCTAATAAGTTTGCTACTTTATCTTGTAATGTTTCTACATTAATGAAATATATTCCCTAAGTGTAGAAATCTCTTGTTTTACAGAGAGTTGGACATGGAGACAAGAACCATACAGATCCTGACAGGTCACCAGTCTTTCTGCAGTTCATTGACTCAGTGTGGCAGATGTTGAGACAGGTAATATATTTCATAAGGTCCAATGACATCTGCTAATAGTTCATAACTTTAATGAGTAAAGAATTACATAGAACATTTTGTAATTTTATTAACTAGAGATCATTATTCCCCCTGTTGAAATGTACCTTTTTTGGGGTTCTGTTGAAAATAGCAGTGTGATTTATAGGAATGCTCACTGTGGTGAGTGATGAGATTTAGGTTACAATAAGTTTACAGCTGTCATCAAGACTAAATGTGTTTATTAACAGTATCCAAGTGAATATAAGCAGAAGGAAATTAATTTTGCCCTATGCTACTTTTAGGTTTAAGCTCCCTCAGCTGTTTCACCTACTGAGGTTATAATTAATCAACATGAATCAGCTAGTCAAGATTTTTCCCAGGTTCCTGATGAAACAAATGGAAAATTCTGAAAGGCAACATTCAAAGACGCATGACCTTTGATGAGTGATTTGAGAGGGAAAAACAGAGAAATGAAGTAGAGTAATGAATACTCTACTCTAGATTTCCCTTCTGCTTTAGTACATATTCATATTTGGTGCAGTTTATGAGTTAAGAGTTTTTTTTTAAAAAAGTCAAATCAACGGAGAAAGACTAAAATGTGGCCTTACCTTATGGGTATTAATGTATGTCTGAATCTGAAACTAGATAATGTTGAATTATGGACAGAACTTAGGCTACCAAATGCATGCAGACAGTAAATATCAATTAGATTTGTTTTGCTGACTTTCTGATTTCAGCTGATGGTCTGCATTGAATTCACACATCTGTCTTCAACACTCACTGTTCATTAAGGCATCTAAGTTTAATTGTGATTTTTTTAAAAACAAAATGTTTTATTTCTTCAGTTCCCCACAGCCTTCGAGTTTAATGAGTTCTTCCTCATAACCATTCTCGATCATCTGTATAGCTGTTTGTTTGGAACATTCCTTTTTAACAGTGAACAACAAAGAGTGAAAGAGGTGAGTGAACAGTGGTAATTCAGTGATGTTCGGCAATCAGAACTACAGAGACTGGAACTGTGCTAGAATATTGATACTTGAACGAGTGCAATATACAATGAAACCCCGATATAACACGGTATTTAGGGTCCATAAAATCGTAACGATAGCGAGAACCTGTATTGGATCTCAGTCTACCTGCAAAAAGTAACTGATAGTCGACGTTTCCTACGCTTGGCCGCTGATTGCGCGGGTTCAATGAGCAGCCGTGGTGCTCGGTGTATGAGCAGTGCCAAGTAAATTTGTTTGATGATATATCCGATATTTTACTTACTGGGATGTTTAGAATGAGTCTTTATGCGTTATAAGCAGAGTGATGTTATAAGGTGGGAGGGTCCTTAGCACATTTTGTATGGGAAGCGACAATATTGATAGCATGATGATGTTAACCATGTGTCTTATTATCAGGAGTTCACTGTATTTTGTTAGGATGGTGAATTTAATAGGCCTGTTCTCATTTGATTTCTTTTACAGGGATTGCACAAGAATACCTTTTCATTGTGGGCGTACATAAACAGCCAGCTAGATGAGTTTACCAACCCTCTATTTGTGAATTACTATAACCATGTGTTGTATCCAGTGGCAAGCATGCGCCACCTAGAGCTCTGGGTGAGATATTACATCCGATGGAACCCCAGGATGAGACCACAGGTAAAATCTCTCATCTTTCAGTCATCATTTCCTATTTGGGGTTAACTGATTATGTCACCATTCAACTGTGTGAACTGCAGTTGCATTTCAGTAAAATATTACAACCATCTTCTGAGTATTATTTAAAGTGGTCGGGCTTCTCTTCATAACTAAGCAATCTGTATTGCGGATTTGCTGGGATGTTATTGGGATGTGAGACGATATACAAATGAAGAGCGGTGCCTCAGTTGGATTTTTTTTCCATTGGAGCAGAGGAGAGGGGATATGACCTAGGTCTTTAAGATACAGAAGAGGGCACGATAGGGTAAATAGGGAAAACGGTATTTCCTTTACTTGTGAATTCGGTGGCCTGAGATGTCAGCAGAAAACATCAGGTTGAGGTTAGAAGGAATCTTTCCCTCAGAGGGTTTGGAATTCATTCTAAAGAGACTTTTGAGGATGTGAGAATGGATCAATAGAAACATTCAAGAGAAATAAGGACGCAAGCAGTAAAAACATGAAAATATATGGGAAGTGGGATTCATTTAGAAAAACAGGAAGCAGTGTTCAGCATGGGCCAACTAGCTCCCTTTAATACAGAAAATTGGACTGATTCCAACATTGTAGTTTGACACAAGAAACTCTTTCAGAAATGTTTTGCAGATTTTGATGTGAAAGAAAATGTGATTTAAAAGGTGGAAAGAAGTGTCTTGATTGTTGTTTTGCATACAGTAATTATTTTTTTAAGGTGAATATCAAAACAGTTTTTATTATTTATGGTTGGATGCGATTCAATAAAATATTAGCAGCTATTTCAAAGTTAAAAGGATTAATTCTTTAACCATTAAAATTCTTACATCTGAATATATTCTGGTTAAAAGTTACATTGTGTCTAGTCTGATCTATTGTTTTGATACTTTAGCAAAACACACCAGTGGTCAGAGTGGGATATTGTGAGGTAATGTGTAACCTAATACTTTTTAAGTAATTCAGCAACAGCTAATATACTAATAATTGAAATGAACAATTTGAGCAGCGTGATGTGAAATAATTAAAATCATCAGAGTTGGTTAAATTAACAAGTTAACTTTGTGTGTGAGATATCGGTAAGCCTGTATCTGAGTTTTACTTGGCATTTCAACATGTGAAATACTAACTGAGAGCACCACTAATAAGTAATCATATTTAGAGCTTTGCTTTCATGATTGACTTTTCAAACAGGCACCTCAGTTGAGAAGAAAAACAAATTCTTGATAAATTCAAGTTCGGTGTCTTCTGATGACTATTATCCATATTGCTTCAGTACTGTTTTGCATTTTTTTACTACCAATGAATGAAAACTGATGAATTATGTTGGCATTTGCATCATTAACCCGAATCAATTCAATTCATCAGTTTTCTAAGCTTCATTCCAGCAATTGGAAAAAAACAATCCAAATAATTTAAGGGAATTTTACCTAAGTATCTACTCAGCTTGGGCGATGAGAATTGTGCTTTCAAACGTTCTCAGAGGCACTAAGAAGAAAGACCTTGCATTTTTATAGTGCCTTCTCTCAGAACATTTCAAAGCACTTTACATTAATAACTGTCAAAAATAGTAGCTGGTTTTAAAGGTAACTGCAATAGCCATTTGAGCTAGTACGGTCCCACAAAGAGCCATGAGGTGAATGACCAATTTATCTAATTTCAGCAATATTCCAGCTCGCTGGACTGGTTGAACTTTCTGTATCTCATATCACCGATTGAAATATAAAAAGTTTGCTCTTGCATAAATGGCTTTTGTTGGGTCATTTCTGGAATAGCTTATTTTAAGTCGCATGGGTCAATATTGGCCACCAAAGTTCTACTGCCTCTGCAACTTGTATTTATGTAGTGCTCCCCACACAGGGTAGCGTCCTAGAGTGCTTGACAGTGGTGGAGCACGATGCTGAGCCGAGGGGAGAGGGAGGTGACTGTAGAGATGGTTAAAGAGGAAGGTCTTCAGGCGCGACCTGAAGATGGGGAAGGAAAGGGCAGAGAAGAAGGAAAGGCGGAGAGAAAGAGTGTTCCAGAGTTTCGGGGCATAGTGGCTGAAGTGCTGCCACTGATGGTGGAACGAAGAGCACAAGGGACTTGCAGGAGGCTGGAGCCAGTCGAGCAGGTCAGAGAGGTGTGGAGGTGGCAGGGCACAAAGGGATTTGAAAAGAAGTGTGAGGATTTTGAAATTGAACTGTTCGGTGATAGGGAGCCAGCCAGTGGAGCCTGGCTACACTGGTGTGATGGGGATATGGAGTTTAGTGAGGATGAGTATGCGGACCACAGAGTTTTGGTTCAGCTGGATCCTGTGTATGGTGGAGCTGGGAGACCAGCGAAGAGGGCATTTGAAAAGTTGAGTTGGGAGGTGACGAACGCATGGACGATTGTTTCGGCTGCATCTGGTGTAAGGTATGTTCGGAGGTGCGTAAAGTGGCAAAGGTGTAGGAAGGCAGTCCTGGTCAGGGACCAGATGTGGGGAAGGACAGCTGTGGATCAAACCTGATGCCTGGGTTGCGCACTGATTCAGTGAGTCTGAGGGATAGGCCAGGGAGGTTGAGGAGGTTAGAGCAGCAGGATAGAAGATGTTGACAGGAGCCAAGGAGTATGATTTCCATCTTATCAACAATGAGTTGTAGGAAGTTTTCGCTCATCTAGGCCCTGATGTCCACCAGACAAGCTGAGAGAACATCGGCGGACCTAGAGTCGAGCTGGGGGAGAAGTAGATTTGTGTGTCATCCGCATACATGTGGAAGTTTACCCCATGTCTGCGAATGACATTGCCAAGAGGGAGATTATATAATGAGGCAGCGGAGGTGGGGCCAAGGATGGAGCCCTGGGGTACATCACAGGTGACCAGGCGGGGGCGAGAAATTAAACCATTTGAAGAGACAAAGTGGTGGTAGTGAAGTTTGTTGAAAGCCTATGATTCTTATGTGCAGGAGCCCATTCATCAGCGTTACAAAGAACTTCTCGCAAAACGAGCAGAGCTTCAGAAGAAAGTGGAAGAATTGCAGCGAGAAGTTTCCAGCAGGTCAGCCTCCTCCTCGTCTGAGAAAGCTGGCTCACCTTCACGCTCTGTCACACCTGTACAGACTGCCGTGTGAACAACTAGTTAACTCTTTAAAATTAGCAGCTGGTGAAGACACTGTTACAAAGGTCTGCTGGAAAAGAAGTCATTCGTATGCACAGCCAAATGTTACATATAAACAGGTTATTGTAAATTATATTTACTTTTTTGTATCAACGTTGTAGCACTTATTTGCTGTGTGTAGGTGAGTAATTCAAGAGTATTAAGCAACCACTCTGATGCAGTTTATGCATTTGGAAGTCTAGCTATTTATTGCACTGACCAAGTTTTTATCTCTTAATTCTAAGATTAACACTAAAACCCTGAGGCAATAGCCAATGTGTTAGTGAGTTTTGAACTCGTTTTATTTGACACTACAGCTGGATAAAACTAAGCATCTCACATGCTATTATTCATCCTGTCCCCAGCAAATCTAATTTTAACAATCTGTTTAATAGGATGCACATTAATAACCTGTATTTTTTGTGGAATTAACCACTAATTGCTGTGGACATAGGTTTCTTTTGCCTACAAGGATGATGGGTTTATACACCTGACATTGTGGGTTTATTTTCCATGACCTGTCAGTCTCTGGCGTAACTTGTTTTACGTGACACTTTGCATGATAATAGGGTAACTGATTAAAACTATGTTTCAAGTAAAATTAAAGCATTCCATTATATTAAAACATTAAGCCCTATTCCCTTTATATTATAGTGGTTTTGAATACACAGCTGATAGGGAGAAAATCTAATATCCTTGAAAATTAGAAAAAAAGTTTAAAAGAGAAACTTTCACAAAAATGCAGATAGTCTGCCTTAGGAGAGAAAGTGAAGTGCCTGCGTTTTATTTTTATAACTTGTTCACTGCTTGTTACCCTGAAAATGTTAAATGCCTAAAATTCAGGAACAAAAACATTTAGCCAGGGTAAATAGGATATATCAAATAGTACTGTAGATCTTAGTTATGTCTCAAATAATGCTTTGCCAGACATCTACCATACAATTGGTCAACCCCAAAGCCAACAGTGTATCTGCCATTTGCATATATTAAACTTCAGAAAACCAAAAATAGAATAGATTTGTGACCTTAATTTCTTGGAATTAAACCAACCTCTGTGCTGTGCCTGAAAAGTTCACAAAACTACTGTCCCTTTTCCAGCTGTTCTGGTGTCAGGTAAAACATGTCAAGTTATGGATGCTTGCTTTGTGAAGAACAGTAATATAATTTGTGGAGTTCTGTAGCTTAGTGGTTAGAGCACTCGTCTCGCAAGTGAAAGGACCTGGGTTTGATTCCCAAGCAGGGCAAAACGTTGGGCAAGTTTCCTTATTCCACACACCTCTGTTTACCTAGCAGTAAGTCGGAACCTGGTTGTTAGTTGATTCGCAGATCACTTTTCTGGATGTAATAATCCCTTCCAAAAAATAAAATAAATAATGATAATTTGGCCACTCAATCCATGACTGTTTGTGGGATACTGCTGCGCCCCAAGATATACAGTAGTCAATTCACTTCACAGTATATTCTGCGAAGCGCTTGAGACATCTTGAAGATGTGATAAAGTGCTATATAAAATGCAAGGATTATTATTAGTAGTAATAATTTGGGGATATAAGATGAACTTGATTTTTTAAAAATAAGTGCTGGAACTTTGCACTTACTTAAAAAAAAGCCTGTATTCAGCAAACTGTGATGAAAATGTTGCCAATATTATATTATTCATCAACACTAAACCAACAGTGCTTTGAATCTTCTTTAACAGGCATCTCTGAAGTGCAAAGCCAGTCAAAATTAATGATGAAACTTATATGGTTATTTTTAATTGTTTTGTGAATCCTGGGCATCTTAAACCCAAACTTTGAATCAGTTTATCTTTTCACCTAATAACGTAAAATTGCTAGAAACCTAATCTCATTTTACTGTTACCAGCAAGCAGCCAGTTAAATAAAACATAACACATGGATGAAGAAGTTTGTACCCTATTTAAAACTTACACTAGATAAACTTAAATAAATAAGCCTGTTTTTTAAGCCACGACAAACTGAAATATTCAAGGTGCTATTTGTAATTTCCAGTGCAGATGAGGCTGTGTTCAATCATAATTTGTTGGAAGGTAACAGGAAAACATTGAAATGAGATGTTTTGAGTGAGCAAGGTGCAAAGTAACATTTATTTAAAAAGTTCACAGAAGAGCTTTTTGGAAAAGTTAGAAAACCAAAAATTAATTTTGACTGGTCTACCTAAAATCAATACACTGATAAGTGGTTTTAAAGTCCACACTGAAGTTCCACTGTACTTGTACCTAGATTATGCAATATCAGAACAAGCACTGATACTGAAATGCATACATTTATAATTTATCAGTATTTTTCTTTAATGTTATCATTATGTAAAGTATAAAAGTACATTTTATTTAGTTTTTTCCTGAAGTTTTTTTTAGTATATTGAAATAGCTTGTTATCTGTAATAGGTAAATTTCAGTCCTGTAAATAAGTTGTGTAATTATGTTCTGTAGATGTTCAATTCTGAATGTAGACTATGATCTTATTAAATTTATGAATGAGCAGTCAACAGTTAGGATTTTTAAATTCTTTTTTTAAAAAAAGTTAAGCAGGGCTAAAATTTAATACAAACAGATACTCCCAACGTGCTATCCAGCATCCCATCTTTAAGCACAATGTTGCAAGCCATGTTTGTAAATAGCCATCCACTATTTTGGTTTCCATGTTCTTATCAGCACTATAGTTCAGGTTTGGTTTTGTTGGTGGAAAAGAAAATCACTACTAAAACGAAGTGCATGAGTCCTGGGCAGATTAGAGTGTGAGCGTAATTATAAGCCGTGCTAAATATGGGCAACCAGAAGTGATTTAAAATCCAGTTCCTAATTTTGCAAAGTATTTGGTATCATTGGTGCCTAGAAATACAAATCCTTGGATAAATTGTTTGAGTCACTTCCAGTGTATCAAAGCTTTATCTTACTGTATTTATTACATAAACAGTTCATTATATTGTTCAATACCTGTGACCACTACTAAGTTCTGATTTACAATTTAATGTCTATAAACTGAAGTCATAATGCAGGCTAATCACAATTAGCTTTTATCACCTTTATTTTTAAAGTAGCCTTTACTGAGATTTGCTAAACTGGAGTAAAGACCTCAAATCCAGAGACAAAATTAAATCTAAATAGTATTCTCTAGAAGTCATGGGATATAATCTAAAACGTGCCTTGTCCTTAGCACAGGTGAATCCTGATGTGTTGTTGTATTTTTAATCCATTAAGATGATAATGGATAAGATAATAAAGTACCTCAGACTTGAATTGCACTGCAGCAGAATCCAAACTGGCTAAACTATGAGAAAGCATTGCATTGTGAACTATCTGTATTCAAAGTTAACAAATGGAAACACAAACCCTTGTGCAACACTTAATTGCTTAGAATAAGACTGGTATGCTCAGGTCAGTTAATAGTTCCTCTCTTGTTCAAATCTCGGTTTTCCCAAAACAAAGGAACTGTTCTGATTTATTATTCATTGCTAGCTCCCTCAAGTGTATATGGTCATTGAAATTTCACTGACAAGAGCAGTAATTATATCACTCTGGTACCTTCTTACAACCAAATATTGCATGTTAAATAATACTGTGTACCACCTTCAGTAAGGAATGGGTTAGAAATCTATCTGTTACATGGGCAGGAGTGCATTGTATATTTTTTAACTTTTTCTCATGTGCTGCTAGAGTATTCTATCAATAAAGACTTGTATATGGTGTAAAATTTACAATGTCTTATTACTATTGTCAGAGCCAAACACATTTGAATTGAAGTTCTCAGCACAACCCAGTGTGGGAGAATTACTGGGACAAACTCAAGCTCTCAACTCCTTCTCCCTTTGGCACCCAAAACAAGGCCATAGTTGCACACTTGGGTTTCCTATTTGTCCCATTAGCTGATGCTATAGACGGAGGTCATGCTCACTCCTATTTCTGAGGTTGATCAAAACTCTCTCACTACATTGGAGATGGCAGGGTGTAATGTTTTGATGCATGTTGCTGTATAAATTAAAAGCTATGAAATAGTTGTGGTTTCTTGCAGATGGATACTGCAGGGCAAATGCTCTGATAAAAACTGGCCTTGAAAAGCATTCTGCAATCAACCCAAGGAATATTAGTGCTAGATCTGGAAGTTCACTCTCCCTTAAAAGAAAAATGTCCTTTAATGACTCTGCAAGCCAAGATTTTTGTGAATGAGCTGTGTTTAACTTGATCACTATTCAGTGCTTTGAAAAGTGCAACAAATATTTTAAAAGTGGAAATTTATCAGCTAGTTGCCAGTTTTCAATGTCACAAAATTTTGCTTGAACCCCAATCCAGAACACAAGTAATGTACTATCAGATAGATAGCAGCAAAATTCCCTATCAGTGACTGAATTGAAATGTATTGCATGCCATTGTAAATAGCTGCTTTTTCACACCATAGTGACACCGACCTGAGATTAATTAAAATTCAACCCTGACCATAAAGCATGTATTATTTCTTTTAAAAAAAAATGGTAGATTAAATCACAACATAAACAAGTTTGGGGTATTTATGAAAAAATGCTCGAATACACACAAAGTTTGCATTGGCCTTCAATGGTAATCCAAATTGGAACTGCCAGAGTATATTGATTGCATGTTTGAATTATTAACTGTGCTTCAGCATTACAAATAGTTCAGCCTTTAAAAAAANTGTTTATTCTAATGCGATAAATAATATGAACACAAATTACATTTCCAAAACCCTAAAAGCATATTTCAGAACACCTAGAACACCAGTGTAATGTATTGGTCCACAGGCACTTTTGGGGCATCAAGAAGTGACCAACTAAACACCCGCATCAATCAATCCCTCGTTCCAGTAGCTACCAACTGCAATACCCATGGTTTGGCCATGAATTAAGAAAAATTCAACCCCCAAAAATTAGTTGGTTGGCTACTAGATTCAAGTTTGGTGGCCAATAAATAGCTAGTTGCTTCAAAAGCCCACCTGTAATACATCTGTTTCAGTCCGTCAATTCTTCCAGTGTTTGGCCCTTATAAATATAAAACTGCTAGTATCCTTAAGGAAGACTCAAATCTGCATAAAGACGAAAGGCTGAGCTATCAAGTTACACTAAAATCAACCAAGAGGGATATCAGATTAAGCTCCTATGCACTGACATTGATAAATTTTTCAAAAGATTCGATGTTTTTACATAAAATTACAATATTGAAATAACTGGTAACATCCACCATATATAGGGCAGTAGAACTTCCAAAATATAAAATAGGGATTTCATTATGCTAAAATTTAACATGGTCCATAAAATTTCAAATAAAGTGAAAACTCACCTTAAGGTCACCCCACAAATGTTTTATTGCAATCACTTATTTCAACATTATCACAAAATACAGCAATATAAACTCATGGGTGACATCAACCCACTAATATGGTCCAAATTCCTGAGTTTGTTGACCTTAGTGAGTTTCCACTGTATTAGACTGTTTAAAACATGCATGCATAATAATTCACAGTTACCAGAGATACATTGATATAAGCAAAGTTCAACTTTAAAAGTCAATACATTACTGAGATTCAAAATTTTGACCACATAGAAGGAACAGATTTCCTGAGCGTCTACACAAATCTAAGGGGCATTACCAATAAGTCTTCAGATTCAGCTATGGCCGAATGATTTTCTGTGTAATACTGGAAATAGTTTTCAGTGAAATTATTTCACAAAATGAGTCAAGTTGAACCACAAAAAGCAGTATTTGCATAAGCCAGATAAGTACACATAGCTAAGGTGGTTCTCGAAGTCATTCACCCTGAAGGATGTGTGTGAAGCTTAGCTTTCATAATTTGGAAGGGGACAACGAATGTAGATTGATTTTGAAATGGTCATGTCATTATTGCAGGTGTTCAATTGCTCCCCACCCCATTCACGATGAGTGAAATACAGTTTCCCATTTGTGAATTCAGGTACTTAACCCTCACATTCAGAAGCTTATACTTTAATTTTTTTAAAAAAGGCTAGAATGAAATCGTAAAATTATATAATACAAAAGCTGATGTAAACAAAGTGTTTGGAGAAGGGGAAAAAGCTACCACTTCCAAAAGTTGATCAAATGAGTCAGTAACCCCAACTGACATCATCTTTTTGAAGAGTAGTTTGTAGAATCTGCATGTCTTTCAATAAGCGAAGACTCCCCCTGCTTTTATCTCCTGGTCGCACTTTAATACCAACTGCATCCTTTCCTCTAGTTGTTACAGTTGTTGTGACTTTTACTTCACTCTCACTACCATTTCCAGTCCTTTTGTTACTTGATCCTTTACTGGCAGATTGTTTTTTTCTTCTAGTTTCCTTCAATTTACGAAGCTTAAACAAATTAGAGAGTTTTGTGTTACTTGATGGTTCACATTTTACAATAAAACCCTAGGAAACAATTATACAAAAATATTAAAATTCATAACATTGAAATAATGTGAGACTAATTGATTGACAGTACAATATATGATTTACATCACCTGAATGGTTCATTGAACTCAGTTGTCATTTTGCTCATGAAGATTGGTGAAAATAATTTGTCAGGTAATAAGATATTTAAAATTTTTCAAACTTTTTAAAATTAATTCAATTTCAGAGTTCAAGAAATGGATACAAAACTGACAATCACAATAATTTATGCATATTTACTGCCTGTATAAAAAGTACAAGCTGCCGAAACCCTCAGGCTGCCGCAACCTTCATAATAATAATAATAATAATCCTTGCATTTGATATAGCGCTTTTCACGTCGGGAGGACGTCCCAAAGCGCTTCACAGAACACACTGTAAAGTGAATTGACTGTATATTTGTGGGCGAACGCGGCAGCCAATTGCGCACAGCAATGTCCCACAAACAGTCGTAGATTGAAAATGACCAATTTCTATTATTGTTTTTGGTTTTTGGAGGGATTATTATTAGGCGTGTGGAGTAAGGAAACTTGCCCAAGGTTTCGCCCTGCCTGGAATTGAACTCGGGTCTCTCGCTTGCAAAGCAAGTGCTCTAACCACTGAGCTACAGGACTCCACAACTTCATACATGCCTTCATTACAACCAGGATCGACTATGCCAGGTTGTCGGTCTTCCCAACTCTTCCCTCCATAAGCTGCAGATCATGCAGAACTCTGTAGCTCTTGTCTTCTCCCACACCAGGCTCCAATGGCTCCACATCCCTCAGAGGATTGAGTTCGAAATTCTTGTTCTTACCTTCAAGTCCCTCCATGTCTTTGCCCTCTCCGACCTCTCCTTTATCAACCTCAACACTTGCCTCCTTCAAGCACGCCCCAAGACCCTCCTTTTCAACCATGCCTTCAGCCACCCTTCTACTCTCCCTGATCCCAACCACACCCCCACCCACCGCTTGGGTCCTATTCTCTCGACTATTCAGCACGTTGGGTCGTCCTCCTGACGTGAAAGGCGCTTTACAAATGTGATTTTGTATTGTACTGTATACATTTTGAACACTAAATGGCAAAATCAGCTTTACAGCCTGTACAGTCAATATTATCATTATTCAAATCACTAAAAATGGTCAACTTCCTGAATGTATATTGGGTCTTCCTGGTCCATGTGCCATCTGCTCCCAGGGATTTTGCAATAGTGTTTTGAAAATGGTCACTTGGAAATTGTGTAATGTAATGGATTAGAATAGTTTGTTTCTCTTAACTTTCTCTCCCTTTGGGAAACAACAGAGCTCTTTTGTTAAATCAGCAACATAGCAAATACTGAGAAACAAATTGTAGCCATATCTCAATGTTACATTCCAAAATCCTGTAATAAATGCCCTCTGGAAAGTTACTCTTACCGAAGCTTGATGCTTGTGGACTTTCGCGATCTGATCCCCTTTTGCTTCCATCCTTTTCACCAATGCTTCTAACTCTCGCTCCAAGTCATCTCGTATGCAATCTGTCTGAGCTTCTTGAATCTGTTTTACCAACTCTTGGTGTTCGCTATGAAAGTATACACAATTTAAATAACGCACAATCCAAAAAGAGCAGGGAGATTCTCCCACTGTCTCCCTCGCCCCAGATAAAATTGGTGATTTACTTTATGATTGGTTGTAGGACATTGCTGAGCGCAAAATTGGTTGCTGCATTCACCCATAAAATATGGTCCCCTCACTTTACAGGAAATTTTGTGAAGTATTTGAGGACATCCTCCCAATATGAAACATGCTACATCAAATGCATGGATTATTACTTACTGCCAGGCTCAATTATTCCAACACCCTGCTCTCTGCCCTACAATTTTCTAGGCAAAAGACCAAGGTCCATCCAGTTCACCTTCCATCATCCTGGCAGTCACTTGACATGCCATGTCTCAAGCTATATTTTGTATGCCGAGAAATTATTTTGAATTGAATTTTGCATCCAATTTCATCTCCCAGGTTCTACGAGCTTATCGTCTCCCACATCCTCACGTGGCTTCAATGGCTCCCCATCCCCAAGTAGATTAAATTCAAAAATCCTATCCTCACTTGAAAATGTCTCCAAGGTCTCGTTCAATCGTACTTGTGCAACTTCCTGCAAGCTACTGTCCTAGCCACTCCCTCCATGCAGCAAACACTCACCTTCTTTATGATTTCCATCATCAGTGAGCGAGCTTTCAGCCTTTCTGTCCCCACACTCTGGCACTCCATCCTGGAATCCCTCTGCCTTTGCCCCTCCCACCCCAACTTCAAAATTCACTTAGAGACCACATTTTTACTGCACTTACATCAAATACATTTGTAGACTAGATAATGCACATTTCACTAAAGGCACAACATCATTTATTATGCGCGTAAAATGACAACGAGCATAAATACTTACAAGCTCATTTGTCCAAATTCATCTTGTAATGTCAACAGCAGTTCACACAACTCCTCATGGAGAGTTGAAGATACAGTGGATGAAGCTTGAGACATCTTATTGGACTTGCTGCATTCTATGAACCTGACCATAGGCTGTTCATTGACCACTTGCTCATTGCACAAGATCCTGTTGTGTTGCTTCAGTAGGTGCAAGACATGCTGGACATTAGCACGAACTGAATGGCTTGGACTAGCTGACTGCAGAATAAAAGCAATTATCAAAAAAACAGGAACCAGAAAGGTACAAGCAAAATATATTTAAAATTAACTCATGTATTACATTTAACTGGGCAGGCAGCTGTGGTACCTACAGACAGGCACACTTGAGGGTTCTCCTCTAAGGAGTCTAACATTGAAAAATATTTAACTTTACTGCAAAACTAACCATCATACGATTCTTCTGCTCTAAATAATACTTCAAGCATGCTACCATCATAGTGTGAAGTAATGAACTGCAAAACCATCCCTTTTCACAATTTGTCCAAATTTAAACATTACTTGTGTGTAAACGGATGAAATATTTATTTTCTTTGAATGCATTCATCTTTGTATTCAAGAAAAACAATAGGCTGTTGTCTGAAGATGGTAAAGAAAAATAAATGCTTCTAGTTTTGGATACCCTGATGACATGTCAGAATTTATTACAATAGAATCTAGTTATATGGCACCTCCTTAGAAGGCAGGTTTGCTTATATAAGAAGGGTGCCCTACGATTTTGGCGAGCAGATGGGCTGGTTTCCCACACTAAAAACAATGGCCAACTTCGGGGTAGTCAGGTCACTACCGTGCATGCATCTATGGGAATTCCCTCAACAGGAGTATTTAATTGTGGGTATACAGTGACTTCTCAGTGAGTGACATTGGTAGTAACATGCCAACCCAGAAGTCAGCCTTTTGTAGCATGGGAGGCTGGCACATGTGCAACGGACAGGAAATAATGTTCTGATGGTAATTTTGGCTCCGTGCTCTGATATTTGGGTTTCTGAATATGAAAAAGACCATTCTAATAAGGTTCACCCGTACCTTCGATCAACCTCATACTATATGAAAAACCTTGATTCATAAACGTCAATTTGACAGTAAGCTACAGTGTAAACTATGATCACACTGAAATACAATTCAGACCATAATGACCAAGATGCTATCAAGATTAAATTTGGATATTATTCACCACCGTCATCTCAAGATATTGTACTTAGATTAGTCTAGCCTATGTTAATTAGAATCTAAAGTTACACTGATGTTTCAAACTCAACAATACCTCCGCTTTCACTTTGAAAATGTAGAATACGAGAGCATTAAAAGAACTTACCTTCCCTGCTACAAATGGCACATCACCTAAGCTGAGCCGGTAATGGGGCTGAGCATGGAATTGGTTTGTACAAGCATTCTAAAAGAACCACCACAAAGAAAAAAAATATTAGAGGCATTTTCAACACATTACCCCAACACTGCTCATATATCTCAGACAGGCAGAAACTGAATAGGGTAGCATTATGACTCAAATAATAACTGCTAGACTAACAATTATCTCTAGACTATTCTATTGTACTTGCTTTGAATTTTGATCCTGAACACTTTTTGCTTGGTGAATGGAGATGTGAAATCCAATGTATCCATATATATGTTCTGTTTTGCAGAGCAATGGGTTTGATTTGCAACTGGAAATGATGTGGAGTTGCAGATCATCCTTGGCTCTAACCCAGCAAGGGCTATGGGCTAAAATTTGAAGTTTCTTTTTCAATCCATTCCTTATAACATTTACAACGTGGTGTTCGAGTTCTAATAACTCAGAAAGCAAGAGTGTTCCTAACTGCGCCAGTCAGCACAAGGAATATCTGTGTGTGTGTGTGTGTGTATATATATATATATATATTATATATAAATAAAAGGTGAAAAGCTGAGGCCTCTGGGGAACACCACTTATCATGTCCAACCAATCAGAGAATGTTCCTTTTATCCCTACTCTGTTTCCTGCCTCTCAACCAATTACCAAGCCAAGTCACAAGGTTACCTCCGACTCCATGCCCTTTATTTTTTGCTGATAACCTCTTGTGCATAACCTTATCAGATGTTTTCTGGATGACATTCACAGAAACTCTCTTATCCACCATATTAGTGGCCTCCTCAAAAAATTCAATTAGATTTGTCAGACATGACCTACCCTTCACAAATCCATGCTGACTCTCTAAGATTAACTCATACTTGCCCAAGTGCTCAGTAACTCTGTCCCTCAAGAGAGATTCCACTAACTTCCTCACAACTGAAGTTAAGATGATAACTTCCTGCAGTTCCGTAGTTTCTCCTTCCCTCTCTTCTTAAATAATAGTGACATTTCCAATTTTCCAATCCAAGGGCACAATTTCAAAATAGAGATAATTCAGATACAATTTCACTCACAAAATACAGTCAATTCACTTTACGGTATATTCTGTGAAGAGTTTTGAGATGTCTCAGACGTGATAGGGCATTATATCAAATGCAAGGATTATTATTACGAATGTACCTGGATCTTTCCCATTCCTCCCTCAAAAACATTTTCCCAAACTTACATGGTTAATCAGATGCCAACAACTTCCATCCAACTATTGACAAATCAACAAATGACAATTAACCATTCTTAGAGGTAATTACGAAAAGAATAGTAAGATTGTAGAACTTGCTTATATTTCAAAACACCAGCAATTAGACATACCTTGATTGGCTGCTTTTTCTTTTTCTTTGGTTTTTGAATTTTTGGTGGTGTAGGTGACACTGCTTGTAGCAAAATTCTATTGGTTTCTAGGCCAGTCTGCAACTGCATAAAAATATTTCTATTACTTGCAGAAAAAAAAGCACTTCATAAAGGTGAGGGGATAGGCTCATTGGACTGATATGCATCATGTGGTATACTGCCAACCATCAGAAATATATTCTTTACATGATGAACCTTAAAGCATGCTTCATTTTGTTTTGACATCGCCCGTCTCCGCCTCTGCCTCGTCCCTCAGGCTGCCCATATCGTCATCTATGGATTTATCACATCTAGCCTCGACTACGCCAACTTCCTGCTCGTCAGCCTTACCAACTCTTCCTTCCATAAGCTGCAGATCACCCAGAACTCTGCAGCTTGTGTCCTCTCCCGCACCAGGCTGCGTGGCCCTAGCACCCGCGCTTCGGCACTACTGACTCCCATTTCCAGGAGGATAAGAGTTCAAAATCCTTGACCTCGCATACTAGATCAATGTGACTGCCCCCGTACTAACCTGTGCAGCTTTATCTTGCACCAGTTTCCGTTGGTGCTCTTCTTCTCGTAACTTCTGCTCCAATACACAAATTTTCCTCTACATCGAAAAACAATTATAAACTAGCTTTAAAACAATAATACAGTATCAAATGTAAGCACCTTGGGACATCCTCCCAGTATGAAAGGCACTATATAAATTGGCAGAACCAAGAATGATACAAATATATCTTATTCTGCATTCCATTAATAGAACAATAGAAACAGGATTGTTGAGTAACCTGAGAATAATTTTGATCACAGAAACTACATACCTCTGCTGCAGTCTGTGTTGTTGTGAGTTTAAAGTACTCCCGTTCAAGCAAGTCAAGTTTTTCAAGTCTTGCTTGTAGATCCAGGCCACTCACACAGCCCCTATTTTCTAAAGATGCCTAGATTATCAGAAATAGAAAACAGCTAAACTTTTAAAACGTAGAGCATCTATAAACAATACATTTTCCCATTTTTACAAATCAAACGGTACAATGACACCTGAAAATTCAAGTTATTTACAAAACAAAATATTTGCAAGCCTTTCTAAAAATGGTAAGAAAATAAGTCATAAATTTAATTTACAAATGCCACCAAGTTGGGGGACAGGAAGAAACTGTGGAATCAGTAGAGGCGACAAGCAAATAATACTTACAAGGAGAGCTTGGTAGGATATGCACATGGCTGATAACTTAAAATTAAGTTTAATACAGATGAATGCATGAAATAAATACAGAAAAATAAGAATAGGAAATGCATGTATACAATAGAACTTGTCATGGATGTCTAATGATTCATTGCTCACCGTGTCAAAGCAGTGTGAGGCATCAATAAACAAGGTAAATAGGACGATGGACTATATTGTCAGTTAAGCTCAGATTCCCACACAACAAAATCAAGTTATATAGTGCTCTGGTCAGGCTGCACATACAGTTATGGTTGCCAGGACAGAAGGGGACTGCATAGACCTTTAGAGGCAATGCAGAGGACAGGAACAAGGATGATCCCAATGTTCAACAAACCTATAGATCAAATAACAGAATTCAATAATTTGCGGGCAGTGCCTGAAATTTTGACCTATTTTCTTTAGGCAATATCTTGGCAATTTTACCTGTCTCTGCAGAACTGTGGTCTTATTCATTTCAGCATTCTGCACCATATGCCTCATGTATTCCAGCTGTTTTTCCAACAGGTTACAGCGAGACTCTGCTGATGCTAACTGTGCTGATAGTTCTGGTGATACAATATTGAAACAAATATTTAATAATAAGCAGTACACAGGTGCAACATAATTGCATAGCACACACTTAATGTCACCTGTGCAAAATCTCCTTTGAATAACATGATAGGGACACAAGACATGATCTATGCAAAATTCTACTTTAAATTGTTCTAATCACCAATTCTAAAGCATAAAATAAAGAAATCAAGAAGAGACAAATGCTAGTAAAAACATCAGTGGATTCTATTTTCACTCAACTGAAAAGTTGCCAAATAATAAGATGGCCTTGCAAGTTGGGATGCTGTTTCCAACAGCAACTATACTTATATAGCACCCTTCAAGCGGGTTAATGTTTCAGAGCACTTTTCAAAAGGAAAATACAGCATAATCCCACTATACCACACCAGTATTTTATGGGTTTAGATACAACTTGGCATACCCTCGACCAGCAGTATACTAAAGTGCAGTATACTTCCTGCTCTTGCACTGACTGACCAGCTTTCTGTGTCTGCCGAAGGCCCAGCAGGCCTCCCTGGAATGCAAGCACCTACTCCAGCAAATGCCAAAAATACAATACAATATAGTTATATAACAGCTTTCACAAAGCATTTCAGAGTGCTGGATGGGCCCTGAACTGGGATGAGAACCAAGGTGAGGTTGCGTGGGGAAAAATGAACAAAAGTGTGGTACATTTTGAGACATGCCTTGAAAGAGAGGAGGGAGCCGGAGGGACTCTGGGATGGAATTCCAGAGTAGGACAGAATGGTTGATAAACCGCTCGCCAATGATTGGGTGGATAGGGCATGGGACATGAAACAGGCCAGTGCTCGCTGAGCAAAGAGAGGTCGCAGAGGTAGAGTGGAGCGAGTTCAATGATCTTGAACATTTCATTGGGGAATGGGGAGCTAATAAAGCAGAGCAAGGATAGGTGTGATAAGCTCACAGAGCTGATGCAGGAGAGGACAAGGGTTGCAGCGTTCTGGATAGTCTGCAGCTTGGAAATATGTGCCATGTTGTAATAAATTGTCAAAACAGGCTTAGTGGGCAAAATGACTGATTGCTAATCCCATTACTATGTCATATTCAAGGTCAGATGCTGAAGCATGCTATTTAGTAAGTACCTTAGGCAAGTTTCCTTGCCACACACGCACACGTTTACCTAGCGGTAAGTAGGAACCCGCTTGTTAGTCAATTGGCGGATCACTTTTCTGGGGTAATAATGTCTCCAAAATAATAATTTGGTCACTCAATCCACGACTGTTTGGGGACACTGCTGTGCGCAATTGGCTGCTGCGTTTCACCTACAAAATATACAGTCGATTCACTTTATAGTATATTCTGTGAAGTGCTTGAGATGTCTCAAGAACGTGATAAGGCTCTACATCAAATGCAAGGATTATTATTACCTAGGTTCCAATGTTCATTTTCTGTAAAGCAAAATGATTTGTTTAGAATTCTTAAAACTGAGTTTTCCATTCAGCCATTCAACATTACTCATTTGTTTTCTTAACCCAATATTCACCCCCCAGCATACCCTTTAGCAAATGCCCACAGGTTAATTTTATTTTCTCCCACCATGTGAGTATCAATATCTCTCTGCTGCTCAGTGTCCAACCATACAATTGTGTAGGAATTCATCATGCAAGGAATGGACAACATGAAGTATTTTACAAATGTCTAGATACTCCATGAAAATAGGAAAATGAACCTGGCTCACTGTAAAGCAGACAAAGGTCATAAACACAAACCTTGATTGTGCTGCGATACTGTCCGCATGTTACCCTCCCTCCGTTTCTCCTTATCTAGCACTTTTTTGTACTCTGCTGTTTCTTCAGAGAGACGTTTCATGTTTTCCTCGGCCTGTATTCGCTCCAGCTCCAATTTTCGGATCTTCTCCTGAAGATTTTTTAAAGCTGAAAGTACCGCTGAAACAACGAAAATAGGGAATGGAATAAAAAAAAAGTAGCTGTGGCTGATGCTACATTAGAAACAATCTCAACCTACGACTCAGTAAGATTAAACTGCAGCAAATTCAATGAACCAAAACCAATTAAACTTCTCAACATAAATAATAATCCCTCCAAAACCAAAAACAATAATAAATTGGTCATTTTCAATCTACGACTGTTTGTGGGACATTGCTGTGCGCAATTGGCTGCCGCGTTCGCCCACAAATATACAGTCAATTCACTTTACAGTGTGTTCTGTGAAGTGCTTTGGGACGTCCTCCCGACGTGAAAAGCGCTATATCAAATGCAAGGATTATTATTATTATTATATAAAGAGATCAAAGAATATACATTTTGCTGAACTCAAGATAATAATGAAATGTCTCACTAACAGCCATGAAAGTGAAGGACTAATTTTATTTGGGAGAATAGTGACCGCAACACTAGGATAAACTCCTGTCTGTTTTTAAATAGCCTTAAAACCCATTAGAATAGGCAGACAGAACCTCAGTTTAACGTCTCATCCAAAGGACGTCACCTCCACCAGTGCAGCACATACCCAACATTGTACTGCAGTGTCAGAGAAAACTTGGGAGTTCCAAGTTCTGATCTGGGGCCTGAACCCACGACCTTCTGACTTAGCAGTGAGAGTGCTACCAACTGAACCAGGCTGACATCTACCAAAACCTTCAGGGCTAGCTGTATCCCCTCCTCATACAGTACTGGCTCCCAGCAGCCATCGAACTGTACTCCAGAGGGGAGTTTAAAAAAAAACTTTTGGAGAATAGAGAAGAAAATTAGGGATTTGTAATCAATGAAAATTTTATTTGAAAGCTGTCACATGTCCAAAATGAAATTCTGTTTAGAGGTAGAGTTCTATTTGAGTTACAAAAAGTGAAATAGAAAAAAAGTGAAGCTAAAAAGAACAGCCAGGAAAGCAAAATTAAAAGTGTTGAAAATTTAAAGCTGTATTTCGGGAGGTTTAATGATAGCAATACACCAACTCATTAAATTCCTCAACTTCATTACTATAAATATTACCATTTAAGAGTCAATATGAGAGCTGAAAAATACATAAGTTGTACCAAGGAAAATAGATTGCTAACAGCTCTGATGTAATCCTAAGATATTGAAAAAATTTGGTAACAGGATGAAAATAACTCATTATCAACAGTGAGTAAATGCAGACTTTTTTGTAAGGTTGAACTAACCTGTGAATAAGAAAAAAAACTGAGCTACAGGTATGGTCACAAATCCTGTAATGGTGTATTGCTGTATTCATAGCAATCAACCTCCATGAGTAAGAACAACACTGCCAGTTTGAACAACCAAAAGTTCCACCCTTCAACTAAACAAGAATGCTCATTAATAATTTGTGAGAATGAATGTTCTTCCACATATCATAAAATATTCATCTGCTGAAGGATGGTTATTAGATAGAAATAGTCAATAATTCAAGGGCTAGAAAATAATATCTTGGGATACAGTGTATGGTTTGGGACATGACATGTTCATTCGACTTCCAGGATGGTGGGAGGCAAACTAGATGTTCCTTGGGACTCATGTTTTTAAGAACACAAAATTAAAGTTGAAAGCAGACACACAGAATTAAGAACTTTGCTATCAGAATGAACACCAAGTAAGAATTTACAATAGTCAGATGGAATTCTGGTTAACCGAAATATAGTTAATATTATTAAATTTGCAAATCAGCCACACACCTCTGCTATTAGTTTCTGGATATGCAAAAATAGGATCATCAGGACATCGTCTCAAGTCAGCATTGATAAAGGGTTTATCCATCGGATATGGTGTAAATGATGGAATGAACGAGGTGTTGTGTGATGATTGTCCTTGACAGCTTTCATCTAGGTAATCTTGCAACTGTAAATACAGAAAGAACATGTTTAGGACCATAGAAATTTACAGCACAGAAGGCAGCTTTTCAGGCCATTGTGTCTGTGATGGCTCTGAGTCCCATTTACATGCCTTTTCCTCAAACACATGTAGTATATTCCTTTTTAGGTGTTTACCGAGTCACCTTTTGAAAGTTAATATGGATTCTGCCTCAATCACTGCTCCCAGCAGAGTATTCCATTCACTCACTGCTCTGCGGGAAAAAAATTCTCCTAATCTTCCTAATTGTTCGTTTACATTGATGCCCTCTAGTCACTGACTCACCAACCTCTGGAAATAATTTCTCCCTATTGACTATCAAACTCTTCATAATTTTAAAGACCTCTATCAGATCACGAAAAGTCCCAGTTACTCCAGTCTCTGCTCATAGGCCAAACTACTCTGCTACAGGTGGAGTCCTGTAGCTCAGTGGTTAGAGCATTCGCTTTGCAAGCGAGAGACCTGAGTTCAATTCCAGGCAGAGGGCGGAACCTTGGGCAAGTTTCCTTACTCCACACACCTAATAATAATCCCTCCAAAACCCAAAACAATAATAAATTGGTCATTTTCAATCTACGACTGTTTGTGGGACATTGCTGTGCGCCATTGGCTGCCGCGTTCGCCCACAAATATACAGTCAATTCACTTTACAGTGTGTTCTGTGAAGCGCTTTGGGACGTCCTCCCGACGTGAAAAGCGCTATATCAAATGCAAGGATTATTATAGGATTATTACTCATCCTCAGTAAATCTCCTCTGCACTACCTCTATCGCCATGACATCTTAAAAGCACATATATTATTTTTGGAATTATATCCAAGTACAAGTGTTAGGCCACTTCCAAAATCCTTATATTCTTAAGCATGCAAAACTCATCTGTACATCCCAACTTCTTTGCAGTCAACAATTTTGAATTATTTTTTCTTCAAAAAAACAATTGTAAATCTTATAAATCTGTTATTTGTAAAGGTATGTGGTATAACTTCCCAGAGCAATTTTGACAATTATATATCTACCTGTATATTTTAGAAGGTACTACCCAATAATAAACACAAGAAATCTTGCAATAATAGTTTGTACAAAATTGTACATCATAAATATTTTGGGGGTCAGCCAGTTGTCTGACACATGCAGAAACCCATCACCATGCTTAAGAGTGTCCAAACCAAAGAAAGTTCCATGCATCCCACCTATACATGAAAATTACAAAGATATTTGTTGTAATGGAGTGTGCACTCTCTCTCAGGATGCATCCCTTCTTACCTAATTCCGGAGAGTATTAAAGCAAGTTTGGCAAGTGCCAAGGGTTTGGGTCCCCAGAGTGTGCGCTGGGGTACAGCTGATGTCTAACCATCTAAAGTTGCACAGCTTGCCATTGAGATCCTGTCTGGCAAGCTTTCCCATTGCTCGTCCACCTAGGACCACCTGTACTGCTTGGGCTTGCAGGCCGGCTCCAGTAACTGGTTGCTAACAAGTGTGGTGACTTTATTTTCAGCCACGTTGCAAGAGCAACATTCCAAAAACAGCTACATGGAAAATTTACTTGGAAGACTGTTGGCCAGGGCAACATTAGGAGAAACTCTCTTCTCTGATAGTCATTGGATAATAATATTTTAATTTGATATAAAGCCTCATCAGTCTCAAAGTGCTTCACAGGATATACTGTAAGGTGTTGTGATGGTATGGATCTGTAACATCTATCTGATCAGACGGGAACTGGATTTAAAATCTTACACAAAGGACAGCACCTTCAATAATGCAGTGCTCTCCAGCAATACACTTTCTAGGTAAGCCCTCCATGGCCTTGCTCCCCTCTTACCTCTGCAACCTCCTAACTCTACACCAACCTGCCCGCTCCCTCCGCTCGGCGGTCTCCAGCCTGCTTCAAGTCCCCTACCTCACCCACCCACCATTGGTGGGTGGGCCTTCACGCACTCTGCCCCCTGCCTCTAGAACTCCATTCCGCAGTCCCTTGCCTCCTTCAAGATCCATCTCAAGACCCTCTTCTTCGACCGTGCCTTCAGTCACCGTCCGTGCTTTCAATCACCCCGCTTCCCCCCCACCCCAATCCCCAGCTCGGGTCTGAAACACTGATCGTCCAGCGCCTTGGGACATCTTCCTGACATGAAAGGTGCGAGACAAATGTCATTTTGTTGTTGTCTTGGATGAGTTGAAAATCATATTGTGGCCCAGAGAGTGCTACTAACTGAGCCAAGCTCCAAATCTGCATTGGCACTGCTCGCCTGGCAATAAATTTTCAGCAGCCCGATGATGGCTCGGGAACCTTTGGCAGACTTTTGTAAAATGTTATTGAAGAGCTGATCACTCAACCAGCGAGTTAATAACATCAAAAAGCAATTTGCGTGGGAGAAAGTAAAAAAAGTGTCCTCCAAAGGGCTGAACTGCTGACGGTACACATCTGCCAAAGTCAGACATCTAAGATATAGTTGAAAGCTGACTAGTCTGTGTTGTGTGGAGAGCGAGCTGGCATCGTGGTCACATCCTCAACAGGTAGCAGGAGGGTGCGAGCACTGTGAAACTGGAGTCCTGTAGCTCAGTGGTTTGAGCACTCGCCTTGCAAGCGAGAGACCTGGGTTCCCCGCAGGGCAAAACCTTGGGCAAGTTTCCTTACTCCACACAGAGCCTAATAATAATCCCTCCAAAACCAAAATAATAATAAATTGGTCATTTTCAATCTACGACTGTTTGTGGGACATTGCTGTGCGCAATTGGCTGCCGCGTTCGCCCACAAATATATATACAGTCAATTCACTTTACAGTGTGTTCTGTGAAGCGCTTTGGGACGTCCTCCCGACGTGAAAAGCACTATATCAAATGCAAGGATTAGTATTATTATTATAACTCGCACTGCCGCCAACTCGTCACTGATTTACTGCGGAGGCTCGCAGGGGCTCCCACCACCACGTCCCACCGGTTGATCCCGTCTTCACTGTTGGCGCTTCTCGTATTTTTTGGGAGGGGGGAGGGGGGGGGGAAAGGGCCTGTAACAGGAAGGACAGACAGCACTGCCTGAACCCCCCTCCGCCCCGCCCGTGCAGCGAGTACAAGCGACATATTCCACCCTCACGGTCTTTTGAACCCCCACCCTGCCCGCTGGCGCTGGCCTGCGAGTCCCGCACTCCCTCACCCCACACCGGGACAGGGCGAACGAGAAATCTTACCCTCTCCGAGCCGTGACAGGCCGACATGTCCGGGTGCCCGCGCGCCTAGTCTATGAGGGGCGGCGTTGAGGAGGCGCGGCTGCCCATCGAGGCCCCTCCCCGCCGTCCGCCCCACACGGCTTTGAAGTCGGCCCCGCCCCCGAGCAGCCTCGTTTCCGACCCGACGCCCCGCCAACCGCCGCGGCTCGCGAGCCTGAAGGTCGGGCGGGGCCCGGCCCGCGTCACCACCCACCTCACAAGGCGATTGACAGCCGCCGCCTTGTCAGCTGACCACGTGACGTCACCGCCCGGCTCACTCGCCGGGAGGAAAACCGCCGTTTGTGTTTTGAAAAAAAATGGCCTTTTTACCAAAACAAGGAAAAGGCCGTTTTTTTTTTAAAAAAAACTTTTAACCCGTCCTCCCAGTCCCCACCGCCGGGCCTGTGCTCGAACTCATGTAAGACATGACATCCGCCACGAATGTGACAAATGAACCGCGTAATTATCGCCATATCTAATATTCGATGTTGCCCCTCCCAGTAAAAAAAATGGCCGTTTGGAGCTTTTTATTTCCCTTCCTCGTTGGCCCCAAAACATGACTAAAGGGACCGGTGACTAATGCTTTGACTATGACTACGCTGCCCGGGAGATAACACGCCGGCTCAGGCCGCAGGGACTGACTTGCAGGGCGGGCGGGGGGGGCAGACAGGCAGCCCCTCAACTGTCTTCCGCTTCTTTTCTCTTTCTCTCTGTGGCGCCGAACGGAAACCACTGACCGCCCACCCGCTCGTTCGCTCGCCCGCTCGCTCGGGCGGCGCCCTGTGATTGGCCGCGAGGAGTCAGAGCGTGCGCGCACCTCGCAGTGTGCGGCCTCGCTATTGGCGGAGAAGCTGCGGGGGGGTGGGGTGTGAGATGTTCTCTTCGCTCTACCGCGTCCGGGTTTTTGATGTTGTCGTTTCGTGCCGTGTGACGCCGGGAGGTCAGACTTTTTATATACACCTATAAAAATATATTTTTATTTTATGCAGTTTATTTAATTTTTTTTATATATATATATAAAGAAAAACAACAACAAAAAAAGCAGCCGTCCCACCCCCGCTCCTCATGCGTGAAGAAAGAACACACCAAACGGGGCGTTGAAGTCTTGACGGTTTACGGTCACAGTTGTTGATTGTTGTTTTTTTTTGGAAAAAAAAACAGCCACATACAATAATGGCCGCGCTCTACGCCTGTACCAAATGCCACCAGCGGTATCCTTTCGAGGAGCTCTCTCAGGGCCAGCAGCTGTGCAAGGTTTGTAGCCACCGCGGGCTTTCCTCTTTCCTCTTCTACCCGAGACCGCGGTCGTCGCTCTTGTCAAATCTTTTTTTTTCTTTTGGGTGGGCCTTTTTTTTTCAATCCAAAGTAAAAGAACCAACCCTTTTTTTTTCTTCTTCTTCTTCTTCTTCAAAGCCATCCTTTTCTTGGCTCCCTCCCTCCCTCCTCCCTCGCTCTCTCCCTCCCTCCCTCCTTCCCTCTCTCTCTCTCTCTCAAATCCAATGGCATCACCACCCGCCACCACAAAAATGTAGTGTTTTTTTTTCCCCCCAACAAAAAACCGTGCAGTTGAGCCCAACAGCTCTTATCCGGCTTAGGTGCTGCCGGATCAGGTTGGTATTTATAACGTGGTGTACGCCCCAACAGAGGAAGGGGGATCAACGCGGAAGGAGAATCGGGATGCAATGGTGACAAACTTGGCCGCCCGCCTTTATTGATCGCTGGCCCTGGAAGAGGAGGAGAGAAGGAACTGGTCTTTTAACACAGTACTGAATGTGATATTCATCTTGCCAATGGAAGTCGAAGACCCCCATTTTTTAACAGCCCGACCGCAAGTTGTGCGATCTGCATTAACCGTAGAGCCACTCTCCTTCACTATCTTTCTCTCCACACCCCAGTCTCGTGTATTAATGAAATGTTCTGTGTATTTCCTGGTTGTTTCGACGTGTCTGTCCACAGTCTGTTCAGTGAAGCAATCCGAGAATGTGAATAACTAGCCACAACATGTTTTACTGTTTCACTGTCAACACACATTCTATTAAATATATAAATCCGGTATTTTATACTAATTACTAAATCAATGATAGACTATCAATTCTAAATCCTATTTTTCTGCTTGAAAGTCACATTTTGTTTTTTAGAGTTGGATAATCTTATTTTACCTACCCATATATATATTATGTTTGCTACTCAATTCTATTTGTTCATAACAATTACAGTTTCATTAAACTGCATGCCAGGGTATTTTGCTGACACGATATTGTGCTGCTGGCGGACTCACTTGGGGATCTTCTGCACTGCATCTGCCATTTTGAAAACGGGACCAACCGGTGGGATACGGTGGTGGGTGCCTCAAAGTGTGGAATCCTGGTTCTGCACGGCTCAAAAGAAGACATCAAGGATCTTGATTGGAACATACAAGGGGCATCAGTCCCAATTGTTGACTCTTATCGGTACCTTGGGAGCGTGGTGTACACCAACTTCAGCCTGGACACTGCCCTGAAGGATGGCGCTGAGAAGGAGCCAAGAAAGGACCCAATGCAGGTCAAGCTTGTGGCATATAAGACTGTGTGCAAATAGCCCTTTACAGATCTGAGATCCTGGGTATGCAGCAGAGTAGCTACCTCCGGTCCATTTGCAAAATCCAGGTTCAAGCAGTGAGGTGGATTTATGGCAAACATGGGAAGTGGCTGCAGGAAGGAAGAGTTCCAGCCTACACTGACCTTTCTCTAAGCACCCTGGAGCTGGAGTGGGCTTCACAGCGGGCATGTCTATTTGCCAAGGCCCCTTCCATGAGGATAAAGTGGCTGCTGCTGAGTAAGCATGGTACGCGGCATTGGAGCCCAAGAACATCAAGTTGGCTAGACTTCACAAGCTATTCTGTAAAGGTCCTCCTACCACGCTGCAGGCAGATGTTTGCCAGATAGCTGATGAGGAAACAGACTTGGGGAAGGAAGAAGTTACCTGTATGAGTATTTGGAATCCACCGGGCACTGGATGTACGAACATGTGTTCACAAATTTGATTGGCCTGCAGAGAGGTTAGCAGCTTCTGCTTAAACTCTAACTCCCAACGAGTGGAACCATCGCTCAATGGGAAGGCACGTGTGCCCAAGCTATGGACAGGAAGATGGTGGCAGTGCTCTCACCCATTTCGTCCTGAGCTGTGTCATCCACCAGGAAGCTCGGAGGGAAGTCCTGGTACCTACCATCCATCCAATAAGGTTTCAAATCTCTGCGCCTGTCAGATATCATATGACAAACTAGTGACTATCCTCCTGGGGTGGGTGTTAAGCAGGGTCTCCTTGGAGCTGAACTGGCTCCAAGATAACATGTTTGGCAATGGAATGTCAGAACTGAGCCAACCCTGTGTGGTGGACTCGGTGGTCCCAGTTCTTGAACCATCTGGGTCTACATTATTTCAGGGCACTACTGATGACAGCACAGCTTCCTCATCATTTGACGTGGAAGGATAGACCAGTCACTGGGGGCAGGGATTCTTCCCATTCAACTCCTGTTAAGTGCAAGCCCTAACAGGTAGGATTGCCTGAACTGGACAAGCGGGGAAAACTTGCCAGACAGTGCTGTCAATGGCAAAGCTGTGCAATTTTAGCTGATTAAGCTCCAGCCAACCTGTGCTTTTTCCGGAATTGAGTAAGCAGGATGCGTCCTTCCCAGGAGAGAATACATTCTGTTCCAATAAACATCTCTGGAATTTCCATGTATAGGTGGGATATGTGGAACTCTGTTTCGTTTGGATTCTTTTAAGAATGTGGGGATTCCGCATGTGTCAAACGTCCGCCTATAATTGCATTGTAGGTTAAGAAATTTTGTTAGCGCTCAACTTATTTTTTAAAAAAATCATTGTCCGCATCAAATAAAGAACCACCTAACTTCCATGTTATTTGTTCATTTTCAAGGAGAATTGCATGCTCCCTCAAGTTACCTTCATAGCACAAGGATCAAATACTGGAAATCATTATAATTGCTCTTATCTGCACTCTTAATAATACCTGTATCCTACAAACAAAAACACAAGTTGTATGCAATATCAGGACTAGAAATTTTAAAGTCTGAAGTCTGTACTGTAGATAATACAGACAGAGTTTACCAAGACACTTTCTACTTTGTTATTTGAGAAGACAGTAGTATCAAATATCACCGATATCTGCTGAAATTGGTTTAAAAAAAATATATACTCCACTGATAATGAAATAATATTAAACTTTGAAGCAAGATATCTGTAAACTTATGTTTCTGTCATCCTTTGGAATTATTCTACCCAGTAGTTTTAAAGAATAAAACATTCTACTGAATGGATTGAGACATTGATAAGTATACTTATCTTACTGATTAGTATAACATTTAGGAATATTTGTTACAACAAAATGTCTGAGTGAAGTAGGCATTCAGAGAGGACAGACATTGTATCTTCATTATGTTTAGTGATACAGTAGCAAAACATACGAATGTTGATAGTTGTGGTAATATAAATATGTGTAATCTTGTTGCATCATGATGGTCAGTATCATTAAAAATAAGACCAACATTCTTTAAACAACTAAAAGAATTGAACATTTGCCTGGCTATTTATAGGAATTGTATATGTACTGCTTAATTTTACAGTGGATTTATCTTATCTGCTGAGAGGAAGCAGTTTATCTAAATTGAAGCAGGGAAATTAAATAACTATTTGGTGAAAAAAGTGGATTGAGATGCATTAAATTAGTTTTTTCAAAAATGTTGGGATTATTACTGCAATAATCTGTTCTGGGTCTGTAAATCCTATGTAAAGAAATCCTCTCAATGAAGCTTAGAAATTCTTGCTATGCATTTTCCTCCAGCTAAAATAACTACTTGTAAAGTTTAGATATTATTCGTGGAGACTCACCTGTTGGGTTTCTTAACATGAAATGTCTGTTTGGATTATGTCTAGTGGCTGCTATTGAAATGAAGTACTGTAGTATTAGCATAATCTATGCCTTAATCCCATTACTTAAAACCTGCATCGAGCATTTACATGTTTAGGGAAGTTTTTTCATACTATCTCAAAGAAGTTGGACGAAGTGGGAGCCATGTAATAAATCCTTCAAGGAAACTTGCCCATGTTTCACCTTACCGGAAATCGAACTCAGGTCTCTCGCTTGTGAGGCGAATGCTCCGCCACTGCGTTACAGGACACCACCTTTGGTTTATGGTTATTAAATTAATTGCAAATGTTCATTGCAAGTGTAGGCGTGATAAATGAATTGTATCAAAGCTGCTTCCTTTGCCCTGATGCACTTAATCCTTCTAGACAATAATAATAATAGAAAAGTCTTACATTTTTTTACTTGTATAGTAGCGCATTTTATGATACGGGTAAATAATTAGATTTCTTAAATATTTTGCTTTTGCTACTTTGGATTCCTCATGCATCCTGATCTGTATTTGATGGAGTAATGTTCCCATCTTACAATATCGTAAGCGATTGATGAATTCCCTTAATGTTACATTGATTCTTTGGGTGCCAACTGTTTTTTATTTCTCCCAAACAGGAGTGTCGGATAGCACATCCAGTTGTAAAGTGTACATATTGCAGAACTGAATTCCAGCAAGAAAGGTACAGTCATTAATATCTGCTTTTATGTAGTTGTAATATGATGTGAAGTTTTGAATGTTTCTGAATTGTAGGTTTTTTATTTTATGCAGCAAAACCAACACAATATGCAAGAAGTGTGCACAGAACGTGAAGCAGTTTGGAACAGTAAGTTGATGCAGCATTATGTCTGACCTTTTAATAGTGAGGGAACTTGGTAAGATTTGAAAGAAATGGTAGTGAGATAGACACATTACCTCATTTATCTTATAATGTAGAATTGCGTTCATTTCTAAATTGATCTGCCCACTTTTTTTAAAATTTAAATGAAACAAATTCTCAAACCAGACGGCACTACCTGTTGCATTAGCTGTATTCTCATTTTAAAGTGGGTGGGATGTACAAACTGACTCCTTACTTTTCACCTCTGATTTCATAGTTTCCGATACAAAATTGGCAGCAGCAGAGCACCTGTGCTACTGAGATTTGCCAAGGTGGTAAGGTTGAAAATGTACATCTGATAATTGCTAGAAGTAGTGATTTTAGCTAATACATAAATAAAAAGGTGAATATAATTGTGCTTTACTGTTACACTTGAACACTTATTGAAGATGTTGCCAATTAGAGATTGTATATCAGACTAATCTTTGCTATTTGGAAGTTATTGTATATACTAGGTACAGTTTAATTAAAAGTCCAATTATACACAAAAATTTATAGGACCAGGTTGATTTTATTCCAAGAAACTCCTTATGCGTGCCCTTAGCTCGAAATTCTTCAAGATGTAGGTTATGTTTACTTAAGGTTAATTAATGAATGAATTCTTGAAGCCACTTGTTGATTACAGACCAATTATACTCGGGCCAGGTATGTCACTAGTTAGAATCAGGATAAGTCTTCTACTTTGTCCCAACACCAACAATGATGCTAATGCCAGCATTTCTGCTTCTTACACTGTCACAAGTGGTATTCCTTCTTTGCGTGTGTCTCTTATTCTCTAACTACCAGTTGGGACAAAATTTCTGAGCTCTGGACTCGATGGTGACAGGGAACAGGGAGTCCTGTAGCTTAGTGGTTAGACCACTCGACTCACAAGTGAGAGGACCTGGGTTCAATTCCCAGCAGGGCAAAACTTTTGGCGAGTTTCCTTACTCCACACATCTCTGTTTGCCTAGCAGTAAGTAGGAACCTAGTTGTTAGTCAATTGGTGGATCACTTTTCTGTGGGTAATAATTCCTTCAAAAAAAAAGTGGTCACTTAATCGACTGTTTTTGTGGGACACTGCTGTGCGTGTTTGGCTGCCGTGTTTGGCTCACAACACATACAATCAATTTATTTTACAGTATATTCTGTGAAGCGCTTTGAGATGTCTAGAAGATGTAGAAGGAGCTATACCAAATGCTATTATTATATTAAGTTAAAATAATTTTACAGGCGTCAGAAGAAAATGATGCCTTATTACTTTGTCTTAGATTTAAATTTTGAAGATAATTACAATGTCCCTACCAGCCCAGTTGAGATCAATATAACAGTAAAGTGTAATGTGTGCACATTACACATGTCGGTGTGAGAAACACTGATGATGATGATAATAATAACCTTTGCATTTGATATGGCGCCTTATCACGTCATTGAGACGTCTCAAAGTGCTTCACAGAATATATTGTGAAGTGAATTGATTGTATTTTGTTGTTAAGGCACATTATTGGGACACAGGATTTTGCATAAAGGTATCAGCCTGGCTCAGTCAGCGGCATTCTTGCCTCCTGAATCTAAAAGGTGTGGGTTTAATCCCACATCAGGACATTGAATTCCTAGACTATGAATTCATAGTCTAGACTGACACTCTCATGCAGTCCTGCATTGTTAGAGGTATCATCCTTTGGATAAGATGTTAAACCGAAATCCTGTCTGCCTGTTCAGAAGATCTTATTTCACTATTCAATAAGAAAAGGGTGTTTCTCCTGTTGTCCTGCCCAACAATCCCCCAAATAAAAATTGATCATTCACTTTATGGCTGTTTGTGGGATATTGCTCGGTGCAAAATTGACTGTGGTGTTCATCTACAAATATACAGTTACTACACTTCACAGTAAAAACCTGTGAAAGACTCAGAAACGTCTCAATGATGTGATAAGGTCCTCTATCAAATGCAAGTATTAAAGTTTTGTTGACGAGTCAAACAGTAGTCTTTATTTTAAACATCTGTATTTATATCAACATTTAGGAATTGGATTACTCCTGTATGAACTGATGAGCCTCTTTTAAATGGGCATTTTTTTAAAAAAATGGGCAGATAGTAAAACTGGGACGTTCCGTATATGTTGCTCACTACTATACAGGCAGCACATCTACCTACTGAACGATCCAAAAGCTCCCATTTAATATTTTGATGGATTTAAAGTATTCGATTCTGCATCTGCCTAAATAACTAAAATGCATATTAGAACTTCAGAGTCTCTGTTTCCATACTGAATTGAATTTCAAACATGAATTCTGCATATTCATTTTAAATATTGTGAACGCAACTATGGTACTGCTGTCACTCATTGTGACTTTACAATAGTGGTTGACAATATACTTATCTGGGAGAAAAAGTGGATCTCCCTCTTTTACTCCTGGTTTTTCTTCATATTGAGTCAGATGAGCAGAGCAGAGTAAGTAAAGCCTTTGCTCTTATTACTTGTAGGTCCCAAAGAGTTGGACCAAAATATGACAAACTGGTGGAGCAGTTGCACGATTAGACATAGATATATAATATTTGCTGATCTTTATCAGTGCTTATAATTAGAACAGGTTAACTATAAAAGCTTTTTTTGTGTTTTGCAGCCAAAGCCCTGTCAATATTGCAACATTATAGCAGCTTTTATTGGCACAAAGTGTCAACGATGTACAAACTCAGAAAAGAAGTATGGACCCCCTCAGACGTGTGAACAGTGCAAGCAGCAATGTGCCTTCGATCGAAAAGATGAGAGTCGACGAAAGGTAACTGAAGTGAGCAAAAATTATTTATACATTCTTGAATTAAAATCTGTTTTATGAATGTTTATTGCAATTTCATATAATTTTATATTCAGTTGTAATTTTTGTTTGCATAGAACCTACTCATTTATCAAAAAGTGATCTTCCATTTTAGTAAATTGCACTTTTGCTTGTTCAGTCGTGCATTCATGCAGTCATATTTATTGTGTGCATTAATTAAGCAATAATGTAACATATGTAATGTCTTGCCAAGCAGGGTAAGTTGGGTGATGGATGAGAGTATAGGTTAGCTAAAATATTAGTGTAGTTTAAACTTTTTGAGCAATATACAAGTAAATATCTATGTAAATTATGTAGGTAGATTATTATTTTAAAGTAGTACTTCAGGAATATATTCCTCAATGATTTAAACTTAATATCCAATGGATAATAGGCAACTAAAAACAGGATTTGTCACTGCAAAAAATTATAAATGATCACTTACTCTTCACCTGAAATGAAACTTTGTTCACTTGTAATGCTATTTTTAAGTGTTAATATCTTATGGTTGGTAAATTGTTCTTTGGTGCTAATACAAAGGTTTGGGTAACGCAGCAAATTGAAAAATCTATTGAGTAATGTGTACTTGGAGAGGACGTTACAGGACTGGAATTGAATCAGGGGATTCTGATACCATCAAAAATTATGGTTTCATAAATTTAAAATCCTGAGATTGGGTTATCTTTCATTTCCTCCCAGGTATTTATTTTATATAATATATATTTTTAGTTTTAGTATAGCTGTTTGGGTTCCTATTTTCCACTACCGTCGCCATTTGGGTTCACCTTGAAGTTTGAAAACTATTCCAAATGACGTAGGAGGAAGGGTGAGGAAGGGTTTTGCTGATGATTGTGACGATTGACCTGAAAGTACACTGCATCCTGTGACAGGTACAGTAGTATTACAAGGTTGTTTTTTCAGCAGTTTAGTGTATATTTTCCATACAGTCTTTCTGTAAGGAATATTGGATGATTGGGTTGAATCAGAGTTAAATGTATTGCCCTGGGTTTATTCTTGGTTGATATGTGGATTGGAGGAAAAGCCCTAATATGACTGCAATTCATCTTTGAGAGGTCATTCATGGATTGTTTTCCCCCTTTGCTTCTCTGGGGTGGAGTGGGGGGGGAAGCATTTTGTTTGAGTGAGTGAAGATGAGGAAATTATCAGTAGTGAGGAACTAGGCATAATATCAAATAGAGAAAACTACATATGCTTATGTTAATTACAAATATTTTGAGGATATTGTTTTCAGGAAATATTATGTAAAGTTTGAGCGTACAGTGTAAATGTAGGAACTTTTGCATCATGGCTGTTGTGCTGTTAAGGCAATGATTAAAGGTTTCAAGTGGGACTAGGGAAGTATTAAAAAAGAATGTTTCTTCTAAGTTGGAATAAAGCATACCATATGAACATAACGGCAATTCTATCAGTTAACTCAGTTATCCATGGTTTAAAATTCAATTTTGTATTTATTTTAAAGGTTGATGGAAAATTGCTGTGCTGGCTGTGTACACTTTCATATAAGCGTGTACTGCAGAAAACTAAAGAGCAGAGAAAAAACCTGGGCTCTTCATCACACTCCTCCTCATCTTCCTCCTCACTGCCTGAGAAAGATCCTTCAAAACATCACCACAGTAGCAGTCGACACAAGTTAGTGATGTTACTTGTATAATAGTGGATGCCTGACAATCCTGATTGAATACCACATTGACAACATTGAAAAAAATGTAGCAATGCGTTTCCTGTTTCTTTTTCTGTAACTTGCTATGACATTTTAGATTTTAATACCCGTGAACAAGCAATTGGATTTTTAGCTAGAGATGTGTAAATACCTGCATAAATCCTTGAAAGTTCTGGCCACAAGTATTCAGCATTAGGTTTTCTGGAAAACAAATTGTAACTACTTTCTTTCAATGCAGCCATAAACAATCATCCAGTATTCAAAATGAAATTCCAAAGAAAAAGCCAAAACTTGAAACAAAGCCATCCAATGGAGACAGGTAAACTGTTTGTTCTATTCAGAAATGAGTGAATGTCTTGTCTTTTGTGTGGAGTTTTATTGAATTCAAATGCATACAACTCAAATCTTTCTGTTCACTGTTCTTTCCACCTAGTTTGTAGATTTGATCATCTACTTGAGTTAGATGTTCTACAACAAATGTGACTGCATTATTAGTTTTTGGTGGTCACAAAGTCTCACTCAAAGTACCTGTGGCATGTGGATAACCTCTAGTATTGTTTTGACATACTTTGGAGATTTTGAGATTTCCTATACTTGATAATGTTTCCATTACTTGTTTTGGAGCGTTATAAACCCAAATGAGATTAATTTAGGGTCTGTGTTCTTATGTTTTATACAGTAGATGGCAAAATGAAACCTATACCTTGGTGTTGTGTTCAGTAAGACATTTCCCAAACTGTTAATCTGTGGGGTACTGAATGTTGGGCAATCCACTAGTACTGTGAAAGCAGAACTGGGGGATATAAATAAAGTTAAAATTAGTTTGACTGAGTATTGGATATTGTGAGTAGATTCCCAACAAAAGCAGTTGATGCTGTGTGAATTAACTCCTGGAAAGGAATGGATATTACTTTTTAGGAGTGTAAGGCGAAAACATTAGGCAAGTTTCCTTACTCCACACGCCTCTGTTTACCTGGCAGATTGGCGGATCGCTTTCCGGGGATAGTAATTCCTTCAACAAAAAACTAATTGGTCACTCAATCCACAGCTGTTTGTGGGGCGCTGCTGCTGGGAGTTGGGGTCAGAAGGGGAGGAGGGGGATGGGAGGGTGGCTGAATGCACGATCGAAGAGGAAGGTCTTCAGACAGGACTTGGAAGGTGACAAGAGAAGGGATGAGGCGGAGGGATTGCAGGATAGAGTTCCAGAGTGTGGGGCAGAGATGCTAAATGCCTGACCGCCAATGGTGGAGTGGGAAGTGCGGGGGCCCTGGAGCAGCCGGTGTCCGCCGAGCGGAGGGAGCGGACAGGCTGATATGGGGTTTTGAGGTCGGAGAGGTAGGGGGGAGCAAGGCAGTGGAGAGCCTTGAAGGTAAGGCACGATATAGCAAGGATTATTGTTATAAAGTTATATACATCATATAAAATCCGATTTAATCAATAATCTACACAGAGCGTGAGTAATTCAATGCAGTCAGTAAGTACACGAGGTACTTCGCCACTACAGCGGGTAAGTGCGCATACGTTGACAGGTCAAGACTACGTTTCCCGATATTCAATGCATCTTCACGCATGCGCACCTACCAGCAAGTGTTGGAATTGCATTGAATCGTGGGAAATGAAGTTCTTCTGTTTGTATGTCGACGGATCAAAACTTTCCCACGACTCAATGCAGCCAGCTGGTAAGTTTTTCTTAAAAAAATTCCCCACACCCAGAATTGCAACTTAAAAAATCATTGTTTTAATGATGAACAGTATTTGTGGATGGAAGTTATTTTAATCTGCGTTAAAAATATTTACTATGCATGATTTGTTTCTTTTAAGGACACAAGTTGTTCGATGGGAAGGGGGTTGAACGAAAACAGTAGGAGAAACCCGCTTTCAACAAATAAGTTTTTAGTTTGCTCCATACTATACTCTTATTTTGTTCTTTATTAGCAGTTCTTTAACCCAGTCAATGGACTCTGGGGGTACAGACAACTTTGTTATAATTAACCAATTAAAAGAAGAGGTTATGTCACTGAAACGCGTGCTGCAGCAGAAAGAGCAGACCATCTTGGAAAAAGATAGAAAGGTAGGTCAAAAGCATTATATATATTTTTAAAACGTAGTAAATTATATGTGCACCATTTCATTATACAGACTGTTTTCTATTTCTTAGTACATTTTATGTTTTGTAGCTGACCGAGTTGAAAGCAGATTTCCAGTATCAGGAATCTAATCTTAGAGCGAAAATGAACAACATGGAAAAAGCTCACAAAGAGGCAGTGGAACAGCTACAGGTATAGATATTACTTTTAATATTTACTAAGGTTGAATACAACGCAGCACTACTATAACACTAGTTTGAGTCCATTTGTATAGCACCTTTCCCGACACGAAAAGCGCTATACAAATGTAGTTTGTTGTTGAAATCCCAATCCACGCTGTAGTGAAGCATGGCAGCTGGTTTCATTCACTACAAATGAATTGTTCGATAGGAAGGGGGTTGAACGAAAACAGTAGGAGAAACCCGCTTTCAACAAATAAGGACGATTGGATGCTTACTGTGCACCTACCAGTTCCCATGCTAAAAGAAAATATCCCAACACCTGGGTTATCAGCTGGGCCAATAGAAAAATGCGGAAATACTTGCCTGAAATTGTGAAAACTTATTTATACGTGGAGTCATGTAACCCAGTGATTAGAGCACTCGCCTCGCAAGTGAGAGACCTGGGTTTGATTTTCGGCAGGACGAAATGTTAGGCAGGTTTCCCTACTCCACATGCCTCTGTTTACTTAGCAGTAATTAGGAACCCGGTTGTTAATCTATTGATGGATCATTTTTCCAGGGATAATAACTCCTTCCCAAAAAATGAATAATAATAATAAATTGGTCACTTCAATTCACGATTGTTTGTGGGACACTGCTGTGCGCAATTGGCTGCCGTGTTTTGCTCACAAAATATAGTCAATTCACTTTGCAGTATATTCTGTGAAGCGCTTTGAGATGTCTCAAATGCATGATAAGGCGCTATATGAAATGCAAATATTATTTATTATTCAATTTATGCTATTTATACAATTTTAAAATGATGTTTGAAAGAAATTGTATTTAATTATAATAATAATCCTTGCATTTGATTTAGCATCTTTCACATCAGGAGGGTACCACATCATAACCCAGATCAGGAGGATAATTCAAAGTGCTTTACAGTATCTACCATAAAGTCTAGTGAATGTATTTTGTAGACAAATGCGACAGCCATTGTGCACACAGCAATGTCCCATAAAGAGCTATGAAGTCCATGTCCATTTTTATTCAAGTAATTGCTGTCTGGGATACAAGGAAAAACTCCCTTCTCTTTTTGAATGCCATGGGATTTGCAACAAGCAGACAGGACCTCGTTTAACATGTCATTGAAAGAATGGCACCTCCAAAAATACAGTGCATTGCATTGGAGTGTCATCTTAGATTATGAATTCAAAGTTCCCACGTGGGGGTTGAACCCACAACCTTCTGACTCTGAGGAAAGAGAATTACCAAATGAGCTAGGCTGATGCACATTGTTAAGCAATCAACTTTTTTCTCATTGCAGATACATTTAGTTTTACCCCAGTTGTAAATTTAAGCTGACATTACTTTCTTTCTACAGGCCAAAAATCGAGAATTGCTTAAACAAGTTGCAGCACTGTCTAAGGGTAAAAAAATGGAGAAGTCTGGAAATCTGTTGCTGTCTCCATAAAAGAGGAGTGTATCTTGCAAGGGAAAGTGAACGCTGCGTTTGTCGCTGATTATTGATATTGTTACTGTGAAGCCTTTAAATATTTCTCCATCTCCATTGCTTTCTGAGTGATTTAGTAGTTTTTTAAAAAAAACCTTTTTAACTAGCAATAAGAAGCAGTACTGTTCCAGCAAATAAGGCCACACTATACAACAAACAGGATGGATATTGGAGACTTCATTATTGCAATCAGTTTGCCAAATTTAAAGGGGCAATAAGTGGAAAGTGACAACAGCTTTGCTTCATCCTATGATTTCTCTGTTTTGAAATCAAATCATTATAACCAGTCATTTTTTGACCTTTGCTGCAGGAAGGGTTGTTTATAATGGGTTTATACTGTGTAGTTTGACTGCCTATATATTGCATTTCTTATTATTTGCTTATAACTAGTTAAGTTCTAGCAGAATTGAACATTAGAAACCATGCAAGCTTATTTTATAGTTTTGATGTAATGGATTATGCCATTCAAGAATTAATAGATATAAAGTGTGTGAATTTGTACGCTTTGAGATTTGCTTAGTGTGTTTAATCTGCCTAGCATTGTTTTTCATTTGAAAAATAGTTTCCAAGTTCTGCTGGTCTCTAAACAGCTGTTGTGTTTGATAAAAAAACTAGAATTTTTTGAAGGGAAAACCTTATAAAAGCTTCTTTTTATGCCACTCACTGTAAGTGATGCAATTAAATGTATATTTGTGCATGAAAATTGTTAGTGATAAAGTACTTTACAGGATCTCAAGGGAATGCATATATTGATAACAGGATATAAACTGTTTAAAAGAAAGAACATTAAGTGGGGCCCCTTCGTATAATGTGTAGACACAAATCCTAGTTTGGCTTTCAGCTGAAGGGTAGCTCCAGCCACTGCATGATCATAATGCTGCACCTTTTCTTTTTCCTCTCACAGCAACCAGGCTAATGAAACTTCCTAAATGCATATTCTATAAGAAAGGAGTATCAGTAATGAAATACAATGTCACCACATTTGTTGCATCACCAATATTGATGCAGTGTTTACCCCCTCCCCCAGGTGTGTGTAAATTATGTTGAAGTTTATCAAATGGATAGGACTCTGGGATCATTATTATATCATAGAGCTGGAGTTGTGCCTTACGGAAGTTGGCCTTAATCTGGTTTGAAATCCAGTGTTAAAGGAATGTTTTTAACTGTTTAAATTTGTACAAATACATAGGATGTTTAGAAAAGAATGCTGCTGTAAATATACTTGGGTTCAAGTTGTAAATCTTTAAGGGTTCCCGACTGATATTCTTGAATAAATACATCCATAATATTGAGGTATTAAAAACAAGTTAACTCAATAGTTCACAAACTATTTGCATATCGTGTGGGTGAGGTACCCTTTTTAAACAAAACAAAAATCCTAGTTAGCTATACTGTAATTAGCAAAACCACAAACTGTTCACAAAATATGTGCAATTAATGCATTTCAAAGATTGGACATTTTGATAATTCGATTTGTACATAAAGGTGCTAATAAATGACATGAGGTGATAAACCTACTTTATTTTTGGACTTAAAATGGCACATTTTGATCATTCTAATGTTTGGAAATGACAATTCACATTTTCTAAACTTTTCAGGTGTTTTTTTAAAAAAACTAAGTTTCATACACCATGTTCTTACGTTTCCTGCATACAAAATCATAGTTGTAGGATTTTTAAAAACTAGGAATTACATGTCTTGTAGGAAGAAAGATGAGAAGTTTCAATAAAATTTAGTTAGTTTTAAGACACTTTCATTAGTTTAGCAGACTGGTATGACAATTCTTTTGTGACTTGGATGTATGAACCATGTTATGTACAACCTTTTGCATTTCAATTTAGTTTTATAATTATCAAAAATAATAAGACTTGCTACCATTGCATCCCAACTTGACTTCATCACTGATTTTTACCTCTAAATCTCCTCTTAGAGCTGAAACATGTAACTTTATTAAAAAGAAGCAACAAATGTCGTCTTCCTTCCCCTCCAGAGTTGTTTCTTTGGTTTCTTACCAGAGCTGTCTGTTCAAAGTTCTGTGAATCTCTTCTGCCACTTGTCCATTCTGATGGTTCAATTGCATGCTCTCCTAAAGGGAAAAACGGACATTTGATTTACTCTTCTCCTCTAACTGGTGATGATCGTGGGAAAAGAACCTCCCAATATTGTTCTGTTCAGTTATCTAGAATGTCTATTTGATCCTCTATCCCCAGACTCAAATAAAGCCCCCTCCCTTATAACAACCTTTTCCTGTTTTCTTTATTTTTTGTTAGTGCTTCTAATGTTATTGCTTATCCATTCTTTCCCCTCAGCCTCCTAAATTTGAATTATTTTGGGGCCTTTTGGCTCCTCTCTCTCCTCACAGTATTGCAATCAAACCTCATTGGAATTCTTAACTAGAATATCTCAACTCCTTTGGTCTCCCCTTTTGCCCACAAACTTTTAATACTTAATACTTTTAATATTCAAGCTTGATGGCACCTAACCATTTATATTTTTGCTTTATCTGCAACTCTTTTCAATGGTACTGTACTATGGGCTTTGGCCCTTCACCTAGGTTCTCAATAAAAAAATAAGCCTTGCATTTTTTCTGTACCAGTATAGACCAAATATTTTTTGTTTCCACCATCACCAAGATGTAATCCATGTAAAGCTATGCATTTAAACTTGATCAACCGTATCACCGTAACTGCACAAACTGAGCAAAATTTAAATGATCTCGTCTTTCTCTATCTCAGGCAAATACAATTACTACTTGGTAATATCACAGTATAATTCTATGAACCAGTTTTTAAACTTTTAGCAGATACCTCTCTAAAAGGGGCATTATTGTAAATGGTCTACAGAGGATACATTCTGTTTTCAAACTGTGGGCCTCATTTATTGGTGTGTAAGATTTCATCAGCATGACTCAATATTGAGGTTTGGAGCTATTTGGCAGCATCGTTAGCCCTATGGCCTACGTATTACCTCTGCTGAAGCTGGTGTATACATGTCAGAACTAACAACTTTATATTGGATTTTCTAACAAATATAAAAGCAGACTGAATACAGTATTTTTGTGTAAAAGGGAGCATTTTACAAAAGTTGGTGGGTTAGATTACTGGCAGAATGAGGTATCGCCAAGTGTAAACTGCCATTGAGCTCTACCAGTTACAGTGCCTTGTCTGCAGTTTTTAAATTTGGTATACATTCTGTAGTTGTAAAACTGTATCAATGTACATAAATTTTCCTAATGCACAAATCTGCATATTTGTAAATGCTGTAATTTCTTTATTATAAAGTGGTTTCATGGATTTTACATTTCTTTAAAAAAAATTATGTAATTCTGTTTTTTCACTTAAGGTAATTTTAGAGAATAGATATGAAGGATTAATATCCTTGATATTGCTTTTTGACCTGAAAAACATAACTAGATACGTGTACAGTGTAATTTATAAAATGGAATGCATATTTTCAAAGGCTTCACAGTACTTAACATGGATGGCAGATTTTAATCATGTACTGGATATAAGGTTTTAATAAGATTTTATTGTTTTACCTCCCATTTATTACTTGAAAATTTAAGTTGTAATATACTGAGTCTGGGATGTTTCCTTGCAGTAATAGACTATAGATTGATGCTTATTTTTATTTTATTTTGGAAAGAAGTCTCCTGTATAAGTAGTGAAACTGCAAGGTGCTAGTGTACTGTACTTCATTTTTATGTAACCATAAATGTAAGTTCATTAAAAGTGCTAATAGAATAGGCTGTATGTCAATGCATTTTGTTGACCGTGGCATCTAGCAAATTCTTAATTTTTCCTCTTTAGAAATGTTTACTCAATCTGTACATCTACACAAGACATGCTGTATTTTGTATTCACACATTGGTCAGTTGCTGAAATATTGCAATTTTCTGAATCTGACATTTTAAATTAACTTTAGTGTCACAATCTTGAAGCTTTTAAACATATCGCCTATAATCATTTTGTTTACCATCTCTCAGTAAAGTTCAGATTGGTATTGAAAATAATGTTCTTTTGCTTTAGTTCCTAAACTCAACCATGATTCATATTCTGGGACTTGCCTAAACAAGAATGTTGCTGACTTGCTATCAAAAAATGGAAAGCACTAATTTACATCAACCGTATGTTCAAATGCAAGAGTAATTAATTAAGATTCTTTGTAGCCCCTAAACTACCATTAACATCAGGATATGTGTATTCCCTGTGCCAGTTTTTTTTAAACAAAACGTTTCAGCTCACTAATTGCAATGTTGAAATCAGTCCTAAAGCAATAATTAGTGTAATGTACAATGAGAATGCAATGTTCAAAAATAAAATGCCTGTCTCTGCTTTCCTCAATCCCCCACCAACCCTGGTCTTTTTGATAATCTTTTTGTTTTATAGATTTTACTCTATTGTATCTTTTTTATAAATATTAGTGTATTTCACCTGGAACCAGAATCCATACAACTAAATGAATTCTCGATTGGCAAAATAACTTGAAATAAATTGAAGACTAAATTGTAAGTTTCACAGAATAATTGTAGGAAACTGGTGGGATTTCTAGCATCTAGACTTTCAAATTACATACATCTGAAATTTAAAGCCTCAGTGACCAGGTAATTTTTTTAATGTGAAAATTCATAGCCACCAATAGATCTAAAAGTGAGTTCAGGAGGAACCTTCTTTACACATAAGGTTGTAAGAACATGGAACCCATTGCACAAGGTGTAGTTGAAGCAGAAAAGATGAATGATTTTAGAGGAAACTAGAGCAAGGGAATAGAGGTGGATTATAATGTTTTGGGGGCAGAGTGGGAGATTTGGATAGGTGGAGGCACATGTGGAGTAAAGATGCCAACACAGACTAGTTGGGCAATGTGGCCTGTTTAGGTGATGTAGATTCTATATATGTATATAATTCAGTAATTACGTACATAATTGGTCCGGGCATTTGACGTGGTGACCCATAAATTTATGAGTTTTTGTATTTAAGTTAAATGTTATATTTTATGGTTTTGAAATAATCATGTTTGTTGATGCTCAAGTTGCAAAATGTTTTGATTGTGAGGCAGGATATGCTTGTTTACTTGTCTTGCTGGGTTTTTATAAGAAATATGCAAAATGCTGTGTGAATGTTTTATCTGCTTGGCCTAATCCTTAGCTAAATAATTTAAAGAACACATATGCTGTTTATAGGTAATCTGCCTTCTATGCAGATAATTATAAATGAAGAATCTGCAGCATACATTCCCAGCAAAATGTTCAATCTGGTTTTATTTTAAGGATTGCTCATGGATTTTTTAAAAAACAAACTAATGTCAGCATATGTAGACTGGGACATAACTGATGAACAATAATAATCTTGCATTTGATATGTGCCTTATCACATCGTTGAAAATCTCATCTCGCTTCATACCAATATACTGTAAAGTGAATTGACTGTATATTTTGTGGGTGCAAAATAATGAAATAAGGGTTAGATACACAAAAAACAACAGTGACTTCAAACTAAGAAAAAAATTGTTGATCTGAATTGGAATATATTACCAAATGTGTCAGTTGCCTTAGTTGTGTTCGGATGCTGGACATTGGAATCAGATGTCAACATAGTTAGAAAGTTCTGCATTGCCATGAAGGCACAGCAGAGATGTTGAGCAGCGGTATCCACATTGATGAGGGGCATCATTATATCGCAACAGAGAAAAGTTTCACACAATCTTCAAACATTTTCACTCAGACTACGATATAACCAAGCATTTCCTTAAGTGTTTTACAAACCAAACCACCTGTATATAATGATAAACTCGCCATTTCAGTGTGACATTTGTGAATTTGGTACATGGAAATTCTTAGAAGAATGTTACCATAAAGAGCAGTACTGAAATCTAGACTTTTTTTAAAAAATCAATTCTAATCCAAGGCAAGAATTTTATTTTTGATGCTACGATTTATGTTGACATGTTACCTCTACAACTAATCAATTACAATTAACCACATTTGCTTGGAACAACTTGATCCTTGTTTGACAACACAAACTCTGTTCTGATGGCATTTACTCACTTTTATATTGTGTGATCTGAGCTGTAAATGCCATCCTTAGAGAAATTGTTTACATGAACTTCATTATAAGAAAAAAGTTACAAATGTGTTTATCACAACTAATCTCTCATTAGGGGAGCTCAGTCTTTCATATGCAGCTCCCTGATTAGGTGAGTGTCCCGAGTTTTGACTGGTCCTTTTGAAGCAATTGTGTTGCATCATTAAATTACCATATTTAAAAGTGCCATCTAATTACTCTGCTATTCTTTCTTTTGCTAATCTTAAATTATTGCCTACTTTTTGATAATACTTACATTTTGGAAGCATGCACAAAGAGATTTTGATGCCTGATTTTCCTTTACATTGGATGGCACTAGGACCGAATGAATTCTGATCCTTTTAGTTGCCAGGATATAAAGCCATGCAAATTAGAAATGGACTTTTTAGACATTTTTACACTAATTAAACACTTAAAATGGGTCATAATAATCTTGTTTCGTTGCTTGTTTTTTTTGAAAATCTGATACCTTTTCAGTAAATAATCCAGCCTGCACAATTGCACTGGAAGATTTCTCAAATGAAGCATTAGAACTGGAAATTAAGCAATAACCTTGTCACTGGAAAAGCATTCTGGCAAGAATCTCATTATAACAGGATAGGCTAAGAATAGAAAAGGCACTTTAGCATGTCTTGGTTGGCTCTATCTAAAATGATGTTTTCGGTTTATGAATAGGTTCGGTATTCCATCTAGTGGCCCAATGCAAAATGCATGAAATATACATGTTGAATTTACCTTGCCGCTTGATCCTGGACTTCGCAAATTGCAGTTCCCTTCAGCCCATTTGTGAATTTTAGATCCAAGATATAAGGTTGATTGTGGTAAAAAGGAAAGCAGCTGCTGGGATGTAGGGCCCGATCCTAACATCTTAGGATGTTGCTGAGCACCCTGGAGGTGGAGTCAGCTTCATAGTGGCATCTACTTGCCAAAGCATGAGAACCTGGTTTGAGCTGTTAGTGTTGAGTAAGCCAAGTACACAGCATTGGACTTGGACCTCTGGAACAGTGATGGCCAGTCTGGCCCAAGGGCCAAAAGTGACGCGCAGGGCTGTCGAGACGTGGTCCCCCAAATATTCACGTCAGTTCAGGTAAGTCCGTGTCGACATGTGTTTTCAGTTTTTCATTTACAAATCAAGAAATATTCAATCAAAAAAATAAAGATTGCCCACCACTGCTCCAGAACATCAATGTTCCTGTGAAAGGCCTCCAATCTGAAGGAATAGAATAGCTGATAAGAAAACTGAGGCTTGGGATGGGAGCTGCTACAAGGCATTATCTGAAGTCTAGGTTTGTGAACACGCACACATGTATCCAGGACTTAATATTGATCTGCGTTGGTATGCAAAGAGGTAAGCAATTGCTATTCAAGCTCTACTTTTGACCAGGTGAACCACTGCTCAATGGGGAGGGATGTGTGTCTGAAGCAGGATTGTTATTATTGGTGCAATACTCTTCAAAAATGTCATCACGAGTTGTGCTGTTCGGTAGGGAGTTAGCTAAGTAGAATGAACTTGCTGCTACAAAATCATTCCATTACAACACCCTCTGTCACCAAACTCATCCTATTCCTGAAACCTACCACCTGCTCCCTAGACCCCATCCCCACTCCACTCCTTATCTTCCAGCTCCACCTCCTTGCCCCACATATCACAGACATCGTCAACCTGTCCCTCTCCTCTGGCTCTGTTCCCATTCCCTTAAAAACTGCCACCATCACTCCCACCTTGAAAAAACCCTCCCTTGATGCGTCGCAGCTATCAAGCTACCGGCCCATCTCCAACCTCCCCTTCCTGTCCAAGGTCCTTGAACGAGTTGTCGCCTCCCAGCTACGCTCTTTCCTCCCCACCCATTCATTATTCGAACCCCGTCAGTCGGGTTTCCGTGCTGCCCATAGCACAGAAACTGCTCTGGTCAAGGTCACCAATGACATCCTGACCATCTGTGACCAGGGCTCCCTCTGCCTCCTCATCCTCCTCGACCTATCGGCAGCATTCGATACGGTCGATCATGCTATTCTCCTTCACCGCTTGTCCTCCCACCTCAACCTTCAAGGCCCTGTCCTTGAGTGGTTTAGGTCGTACCTTTCCCACCGTCTTCATTTTGTTTCCACGAACGGCTTTTCCTCCAGCCCCCGCACTGTCTCGTGCGGTGTCCCTCAGGGCTCTGTCCTCGGTCCCCTCCTCTTCACCCTCTACATGCTTCCCCTTGGTGACATCATCCGCAGACATGGGGTTAACTTCCACATGTATGCGGATGACACCCAACTCTACCTTTCCTCTCTACCCTCAACTCCACGACCACCGATGTCCTGACAGCCTGCCTGTCCGACATCGAGTCCTGGACAAGAGACAACTTTCTTCAGCTCAACGTGCGTAAAACTGAGGCCCTCCTGATTGGCTCACGTCAGCGCCTCCGCACCTCAGGCGCTGACAGCATCAGCATCCAAGGCTGCACTCTCCACCTCTCAAAGCCAGTCAGGAACCTTGGTGTTCTGTTCGACCCTGAGCTGTCCTTTCTCCCTCATATCCGCGCCACAACTGGCACTGCCTTCCATCACCTCCGGAACGTCGCCAGACTACGGCATTACCTCACCCCTCACGCTGCTGAAACCCTGGTCCACGCCTTTATCACCTCAAGGCTGGACTATGGGAACTCTCTCCT